GGAGTTTTTCCGTTAAGGAAAAGTACGACTGTTTCTCTCAGTCGTCTCCAAACATCTCCGCATCTTGTCGACAGACTCCTGGCAGATCAGCTCATTGTCGTACGCACTGCTTACGAAAATCTCAAAGTTGGGAGAACAGTAGCGACAGCGGAATACAAATGGATGAAAGTAATACCTCGTGTTTCTCATCCGGGTCATTCCTAACCAGTTATACATCCCTGGGTTATGAGACTGGTGAAGAAGGATTTGAGTGTTCAGTACAGAAGAATCGTGGCGTATTCAGCGCTACTAGTACACCTATACCTGGAAAAGGCTCAATGAAATGTTCAAACCCTGGTGGTAAGAGCAAAAATCGATCGTTGTCTCAAACACAGAGCATATTGAGCTCAGTTGAGATGGAGGATACAAAAAAATCACCAGATGTAAAAGACGCTTGGAACATCCCCGATCAAGAAAACTCAGATAAGACAGGTATGTACAGTACAATACGACCAGCTTTGTAACAAAATGGTCTTTTTGTCTGGTAAATTTTTACGGTGCCGATCAGTTTCACAAATCATATTTATTGATAATTCACTCGGCCTGATAATCAACTCAACACCAGCATTTTCATAGTGCCAAGTTTACTCTGCAGTGGTTTAATATTTGGTTTTATTCTTTTTCAGGTCCTGCACCCCAACTGGGGCGTTTTCATTCGTCTGCGATGCAATACAGTTTCGAAAGTCGACCGTACGTTCGTGACTTTTTAATTTCTACGGCATTCAACTCTGAGGAAGAGAACTATCAACTATCAGTAAAGCGAGAACCGCTTGCTAAGAAGAGTGTCCGTATTTAAAGCGACTTTGTTCGTCAGATATAGCAAGTAACAGTAATTAATGATGAAATTAATAGTTAATAGGCAATATGTAACATGAGTTATAAAAATAAAAGCGTTGCAAATATTCAGCTGAAAAATCGTATATTTATGTGTCTGTGCCTATACTATCTGTTTCAGTTAGACCTTTCACCATCAAATTCATTGGCAAAGAAAAACGGTACCACTTCGCCACTTTTTTCTCGGAGAAGAAAATTTACGGTTAGAACTATGCGTGGGGTGTGGTTCTGAACCATGCTCCCTCTCTCAACTTTTTAGAAGGCCCGGCCCACTGAATTGTGTACGAAGATTCAACAGTCCAAACTTTCAACCGGCGTTGGAAAACAATTTGGAGCAATACGTAGGGTTGAAATTTGTTGGACTTTTTTGTGCAATTCATCGCATTTCTTTGCTGCAATGTGTATAACTTATGTGTAGAAATCACTCGACGAATATTTGACAAGCATCTCTGTGGCTTACGCATGAGAGAATTTTTAGGTTGATTTTAAATACATGCAAACACTCGCAGCGAGCTTCCAAAGTAGCTGTTTGAGATGAGTCGAAATGAGCCTGTACACCAGCGACCTTAGCTACAACATAATACCGGTAATATTCTGTCCTAACAGTGGAATAAAGAACGTAGTATAAACACAAATGATTACATGACGTTACTCGCATGTGGAGATTGCATGAGAGATTTTGTTAACAACAGCCGCCCCCGTGGCACGGCTAAATTTGGTACCCGTACTCGGTTTTTAGCGCCCCCTGTGGCACGGCTAAAGTTGGTACCCGTGCCTGTTTTATTAGCGCTCAAACTACCAGTACAAAGACCAAGTATATCGGTACCCATTTGGTATACGGTACCCATTTTAGCCGTGCCGTTAAACTGCATAAGTGTAACGTAAACTTTCAACGGAGCTAAAGGATTGTATTGCAAAGCCGGGTTTGAAACTTACGAAACACGAGCCTTTCGCGTATAAAATTATACGCGATTAATTTGAAATGGCATGTATTCAGTATTTGCAAGCTGTGGAAAAGCAATTCAACTGGTAGTCCGTTGTCGACATCGGTTTATGAGCAAAATTTGTTTTATCAGCTGAAAATTACCACCATTCTCTACTAGACGAATTTGTTCGCTTGAACAGATAAAATGTAGGAAGCGATTCTTCTCTTTCGCGGCGAATTTTTTCGCAAGTCAATCACGTCACTGGATTTTAGATATCGCTTCGCTTTAGCCACTATATAGTATCGCCATCTTGTCTTGTATTTCTGATAGTATTTCGCTCGAAAATTTGCCAAGCATAAGCTACACGATTGTGTTATTTTAGATACAGGAATGGCATTGTATTAGCCTAGATTTTTAAGGAAAGGAGTCTTGCAGAACTTTTTAACTCGATGTAAAAATTGACATGTGCTGCGCGTACTTTTAAAAAATAAACAGACATTTAAAAAATCTATCTAGGCTATTAGGTTTTGCACGTGCTTGCCTATAATAATGACTTCATCAAGCGCGGAGCAACTCATTAGTTTACGTCACAATGCATGCTCCTCATTATTGACTCATACTGCAAACCGACAAGTCGTGTTTGCAGGAGTTGCGCTCGAAATCTTATTATCAAAGCGATATTTTGGAAAGTGATTTATTTTTGTGTCTTGAGATGGGCGGCCTAATGAGTCGCTGCGTCTCCGCTTGTTTTCGCCAGCCCGCCGTGGAAACATCGTGCGAGGCCGTAGAAGATCATAGTCCGGTTCTGGTGAAAACTCAAAATCTTAGAAAGTCAGGAAATCTTAAAGAGGAATCCTCACAATCCGTAAGTTATTTAATATGATCGTTTTAGTTTTGATATTAGTTACAACTTTACCAGTTTTTTCGACAAAAAAAAATTCATTTTTCCGAAATGCGTAAAGATTTTTTTTCAAGAATGCATTAGGTTTTTTCTATTTTACAATTATACTTCTGAGATCTTCTGTGTTTAATAAAAAAATTTATCTAATTAGACGTTTAATTTCATAAATCTTGATGTTTACAATAGGTTGTTAAGCAGGAATTTACAGGGAATTATGAAGTCATATAAGTGCTTGCGTGCATGCGCAAATGAACAAAACTGCAACAAATGTCCAGTGTATCATGTTTATATAAGTTCAGAGTTGCCAAGCAACTAAAATATCAAACCAAAAAGAAAAAGGAACAATTTTCATTTCTCGAAAAGCTATTTGAAAATTATTTTATCGTTGAAGTAGGTAGGAATTAATAATTCTTTTTTATTCAATGCATGAACGATATGGTCAGCCCAAGGCGTATAGCCTACAGATTTTCGAAAATATATATGTATATATAAAGCCTGATACAAAAAAATTCTTAAAAGTAAATCGAATACATAAAGTGTTTATGTATTAAAAATGCAAGAAAATTCGTGTTAGATTATATTGTTTTTGTACGTACCATGCAGTGTTTACTATAACTTGTCTTCATATTAACTATTGATTCAGATTAATTTTTTAATTTTGTACGTTTTGAAAAATAATAATATATATATCTATATATTCCAACTTTATATTCGTAGGACATGAAACAACTTTTATATTTGTATAGTTTTATAAAGGGTATAGAAATAAAATGATTTTGATCATGCCATGCAGAGAATTAATACACATGTTATTTTTCACCTTAGGATGATTTCTCTGCTGTCCGAACTCTATCAAAAACCCACATTCAGGAAACTAAATCTGACCTTGAGCCAGGTATTTAAAATATTTTTATGTGCAATTACATCCATTAGTCAATCGTAGACTTAAATTGACGTACTTTGCTATTAGACGAGGAGTAAAATCTTCATGCAAAGACCATTCAATGCATTCAGTCATCAATCAAACTAATCAAAATTTCCCTTTTTTTCCAGTTACTGTTCTTGCGAAGCCACAAGGCAGTGTCAGTCTTGAAGACGTGAAGATAGAGATTTGTGACGTGGTTAATGAGTTGTCAACAGCTTTAACAAAACAAAGTGAAGATGCAATTTCACCTAGAAAACGTAAGATTATTCGTTTACGATTTTTTTTTTACTTTTTATATAACATAATGTTAAGTTTTTCATAATGCAGCTGTAGATCACTGTAAATATGGCCAGAATTATGGCAATATTGAACCACTAATAATAATATTAAATAACATTCAAAAACATTTTACAATTCATTTGGAACCTTTCTAATTTAGCAAAACATTCCGTTGATTTATTTAGATGAAGTCAATGAAGTAGATGATAACTCATCAGAAAATCACCAACAGAAAATTATTCTTCAAAAAGATGAAGGTGAATAAAAATTTCCTAAAGGCTCGTTTATACTTGGGTTTTTTGCTGCGATTTTCTTCTTTTGATAGATGTGAACGAGTAATTAGTTACTAATTAATGCTCTGATCTATCGAAAAACTGAAAATTCGCGTCGCGTTGTCAAATTGCGTCCGGTGTGTGTGGGCCTTAAACGGGCCTCAAATCGTTTCTTTGCAAGTAATGCATTGGCCCTATTTAGAACTATATGAAAAAATAGGAAGAATTTTTTAATCACATGCATTTAATCAGCCGCTTCAGTTGATTCTCTTGGTGAATTTTTGATATTTTTTATAGCTAAAGTAAAGAAGAACATATTGTCTCATACCATAAAGCCAGAGATTGCTCTGTCATTGGTTGAAAAAAATAATGAAGAAATTTCAGGTGGATCTGTCGTCACACTGAATGTTGATGATGGCCTAAAAGGCATTACGTCATCGGTTAATGCTACATCATCTGTGAGTAGATCGTTCGTAATTGTCAACAATTTATAATTTTCTTTCTGGTAAAAACAACGAACAAACTTTAATAAAAAAAACTTTTTTCTATTTCACATTTATTTATTTAATAATTATAGCTACGTTTTCCACATTTTCAGACATGTGAAGAATCTACACCGGTGAAACAAGGTAATCTAATTTATAAATTCATAATTGCGCCAGGAATATCTCTTCCGGTGAAAAAAAGTTCAATTTTAACTTTGCGGTTCCTTCGTCGGAACCGAAATATTTCCGAATGAAATTTCAAACGTCTCTACTGCGCATGTCCTCCACGAAAAATCTTCCATTCCAGAAAAGTTTTTTCGGCGTGTGTAGGCAGTTTCAATGACCATTCAAATCTCATTGCGGGACATATTTATTCACTCCAGTCCTTTTCAAAGCTTGAGCAAAATATCTCAAAGTACGGACAGTTATTGCCGTTGCTTTTTATTAGGCAAGACGTCAATCAGAAAGAAGATTGCCAAATATGCTTTGTCTCCTCTCACTACTCTGCGAACTCGATCAGAAAGAGAGAACACCATTGATGCTCGTCCAAAGAAGCTTCTTGACATGGATCCTTCATATCTTGCTCAAGAGTTGTGTCTCATTGATAAGGAACTTCTTCTTATTATTCCTTGGAGCGAATTATCTGTTTGTGGCTGGATGACTAAAAAAAAGGTATATAAATAAATGAATAAAACGTTAACCGAGAGATCTTCCAAGGTTTTTTAAAAAAGCTTCCCACCCGACCTATCAGTTTCGTACTGACAAAAGTTTTGTTGATAACCACAGTTTCCCATATTCGAATCTGAACATTATAATTGTATGTCTATATTTTACAATTTTTTTGCCTGTTTTCGCTGATTACGCTAATGTAGATTGTGAAGCAATCACTGATCTTTCACCTATAATTTTCGTTAGTAATTTTATCAACAATTGAAGACTTTATCTCCAAGTCGAATTTGTGGGTTGATTTCGAGTCTTTATCAAACAAACAATGGATGACTACATGACTGCCAAGATCATGTTATTTACTCATTTCGATACATCAAATTCATCTCACGCTTCGTTGAATCTCGACTAATTAACCGGGACCATGTAAACAGCCACGTGGTCTGTCAAATATGAACTGATGTTACAAAACTTGGATAGGATTACCAAACCTCATCGAATGGGATTTAAAGACCCATAGCTATTCCTGGGCAGAATAACAAATGTTATTGATTTTATTTTAAAATGTTATTGATTTTATTTTAATTGATTTGTAGTATCAAGTTTCTCCGAATGTCATGGCGATGGTGGAATTCTTTAATCGCATTGCACTTCTTGTTGCTTCGCAAATATTGTGCGAAGATGATGTAAAGAGAAGAGTTCGTGTCATCTCTAAAGTTATTAAGGTTCGAACCTCATTCTCTTCAGCGATTATTGCAGCAAAAACACTGTAGTTTTAGGTGCAAAGAGCAAATCATTATAAAATCGTAACATACTTCACTTGAACGTTTTATTATTTTGCTAATAGGTTGCCAACAAACTTCGTGCAATGGGTAACTTTAACTCACTGAAAGCTGTCTTGGGCGGATTGCAATGCACACCAATCTATCGCCTCGACGACACTTGGAAGGAATTATCGTCAAAACGAAGAAAGTAAGAAAATATTATTGTGGATAACCGCCTACTACTATTTATTTTCATCTAAACCTGTCCCCGCCAAATACATGTAGCAGTGGATGTAAATCAATCTCTTGCATTTGGTAAAACTATTTCTCTCAACAGCTCCCAAACAGTAGCGTAACCAACCTGACGATTTGTCCCGCTATGCTAATATTTTAGTGTTCACTGATTGTGAAAACAATAAATTTCTAATAGACATGAATTATAATAACTCGAAATTTACATAGCGAGAAAAAACCTTCAGGTCCAAATAAGATTAAACATTTGCGCTCGTTCAAAATAAACTACGAAGCCCGCATAAATAGCGGTTGAAAGATACAGCCGGCAAACAGCAAACAGCATTTCCTGCAAACAGCAAAACTAAACAAAGTCTAGGCGTCGTAAAAAGTCGGTTGGGATGTTAATATAACAGTGCAATAGTGGTGGAACGTTGTTTAGTAATTTTAGTTTGTCATTAGCAGAAAATATGCGCAGAACTGGATTTGCATCATGTTTAAATATAGTCAGGGAACCATGCAGGATTTGGCAGCGAACTCTATGTGAATAGACCTTGTGCATAATGACGTATCAAGCCGTGACGCCTGCAGGGAATTCTGGTTTTAGCAGTCACGGCGAAAAATTCACAAACTTCAAAATTTCCCGCCGTGACTATTACGACCAGAATTCCCTGCAGGTTTCACGACTTGTTACGTCATTATGCATGAGGTCTATTGGATCGACAACTCAGTTGATGTCTTTGATAAATTCAAATCAATTCAAATCAGCAGTTAATTTTTCATTGTTTTTCTTCTCGGTTCAAAGGCAATACCGCAGTTTGACGAATTTGATGAGCGAAGAAGACAATTTCGCTGCTTATCGAAACGAATTGGACAATTTGATGGACAAGAACGTTCCATGTCTACCATTTTTGGGGGATTTTCTGACACAAATCGCCCAAACACAAACCTATTTGGCTTGTCGTAAGAAGGAATGCCACAAGAGTACGTCAAAAGAAAATAAGTCAGAAAATCTGGAGATTCAAACAACATCGTCACCTCAGAACATCCAGACGAAATCTCTACGAAAGAAGTCGCTTTCTCGCACGAGCTGGCTGAAAAAGCGGAGTTTTTCCGTTAAGGAAAAGTACGACCGTTTCTCTCAGTCGTCCCCAAACATTTCCGGAACTTGTCGACAGACTCCTGGCAGATTAGGTCATTATCGTTCGCACAGTTTGCGAAAATCTCAAAGTTGGCAGAACAGTAGCGACAGCGGAATACAAGTGGATGAAAGTAATACCTCGTGTTTCTCATCCGGGTCATTCCTAACCAGTGATACATCCCTGGGTTATGAGACTGGTGAAGAAGGATTTGAGAGTTCAGTACAGAAGAATCGTGGCGTATTCAGTGCTACTAGCACACCAATACCTGGAAAAGGCTCATTGAAATGTTCAAACCCTGGTGGTAAGAGCAAACATCAATCGTTGTCTCGAACACAGAGCATATTGAGCTCAGTTGAGGTGGAGGATGCCAAGAAATCACCAGATGTAAAAGACGCTCGGAACATCCCTGATCAGGAAAGCTCAGATAAGACAGGTATGTACAGTACAATACGATCACGGCCCCGTTATATGAAAACCGGAACCAGCTTTCATCTTTGGAATCTGGATTAGGAATACTAAGATTTAATCAAAGTAACAGCAAAGAACGGGCGATTTAAAAGCGATTGAAAAAAATCACTATCCCTGGATAGCGCTATCCGGCTGTCATCAATCGACCACAGCTTTGTAGCAAAATGATCTTGTTGTCTGGTCAATTTTTACGCAGCCAGTGACTTTCACAGACCACATTTATTGATAATTCACTTGGCCTGATAATCAACTCAACACCAACATTTTGAGCCCTAAGTTTACTGTGCAGTGGTTTAATACTTGGTTTTATTCTTTCCCAGGTCCTGAACTCCAACTGGGGCGTTTTCATTCGGCTGCGATGCAATACAGTTTCCAAAGTCGACCGTGCATTCATCACTTTTTAACTTCAACGGCATTCAATGCTGAGGAAGAGAACTATCAACTATCAGTAAAGCGAGAACCTCTTGCTAAAAAGAGTGTCCGTATTTAAAGCGACTTTGTTCGTCAGATATAGAAAGTAACAGTAATTAATGATGATATTAATAGTTAATATTGAATATGTAACATGAATTTAAAAATAAAAGCGTTACAAATATTCAACTGAAAAATGGTTTGTTTATGTGTCTGTGCCTATACTATCTGTTTCAGTTAGACCTTTCACCGTCAAATTCATTGACAGCGAAAAACGGCACCCATCCGCCGCTTTTTTCTCGGACAAGAAAATTGACGGTTAAAATTATGCGTTGGGTTGTGGTTCTGAGCCATGCTCCCTCTCTCAATTTTTCAACAGGCCCGGCCCGATGAAATGCGTACAAAGATTCAACAGCCCAAACTTTCAACCGGCGTTGGAAAACATTTTGGAGCAGCAATATTGGGTTGAAATTCAGGGGCGTGACTAGAGAGATAATTGGGGGGGAGGGGGGAATATTCATATATTAAGTTCTGCCCGACGGATTTCTATTGTAAGCTATTGCACTTTGGGCAAAAAGAGTACGGGATGGTCAGTTGACATCAGAACTGCATGCTTAGCAACGAAGACAGATGTGCGTATCTCTGCTATCTTTTGAGCTTCTGAAACGATTGGTCGGAGTATGAGCCTTGAGTCAGTCTACCTTACAGACATTACAAAAAGTCTTATATTCATCACCACCAACTGGTGCCAGCCATCCTGGGCAGAGTAAAAAATGACCAGTAGGCAATGCACAATATGGCAAAAAACGTATATAGATTTATAGTATAATTTTTTGTTACAAATATGGATTACTGGCTATACGATTTTACTTTGCTCAGTGAAAACTCCTTAAAAAGTAGAGCATTTGTTTTTGTTAAATAATCAGTGCTTAAAAGTTAACTAACCTTTAAATTGCTTATCTTGTTTCCAGGAAGTATTGAAGTAATTGAACTTCTGTGCGTACCATAGCTTTTTTGTTGGCGCTTGCTTCGCCAGTTGCGTGTGGCTTCTGGGCATGAGTCGCTTTGTTATTGTTATATGAAGTACCGGAGGAAACAAATTACACAAAACTTCATTGCTCTTCATTAATTGCTATGATTCGAACTTCCAAATTCTATGTACAAAAGCAAGAAAAATCTGCACTTAATTCTGTTTTTTAGAACCGATCAATTCTCGAAACGAGAACGAGATCGCCGGATTTTAGTAAGCAACTGGCCCCAGGACCCATCGTTGTCCCGCAGACCGCAGTACAAAGACCAAGAATGGATGAAGATTGTGAAATATTGCCTGATTGATATATTATGCTTGTTTTTATTAGCCTTCACGAGCTTTGTTGTAATTTTTGGTCATTGTAAGGTTTTGAAAGTCACGAATTGTCATTTTGCTATTCGGTTATGGTCTCGTGGATCAATTAATTTCGATGGTGTGGTCAGATAGACTTTGAAACATCGAAAGATATTGGATCGTTATGTCGAGAGCTTCAGATCAATAATGAGATTATGAAAAATTAGCAAGATCAATGACATGGCAAACTTGGGTAAGAAGGACCTAAAAAAGCTTGTTACATGAATGGATATTGCCATCAACTGCAGTATGTATTGGTGTAACACAGTACAGCAGCACAAGTTTGTTGAGAACGTTATATTCGCACACTTCAAATCACCGAGTGACCGAGATTAGTTATGTTGTATCAAAAATTTGAACATTGAAGTATCATCTTAAACGATGTTTTTAGCAAACATTTTCCCTGTATATTCTTCACAATATTAAGATGTTTTATCACTATTGAGGATAAAACATACCGAACTGTACGCCATCGATTACTTCTAAGCACCATCCCACATTAAAATTATGAATATCTTTATTTTGACAAAGAATTTCTGCCATTAATATAAACTGCACATGGGGATTATCCGCAAACCCACCGCTTTAAGCTCTATGTTATGATTGTTATTCCTCATAATTCCTCAAACTTAAAATATTCAATGTTTTCATTCGAAATAACAGGTACTAAAAGGGCTTCTTACAGTATAAACAACATTTTATATCAACTGCCTAGTGCCTACATGTACCTGTCGTGTATTAGTTTACAGTCATATTTTGCTTTGTATATCCTAAGTATTGGTTGAGGAGACACGTTTTAGAATGGCTCAAAGCACTAGACGGTCTTTATCCCTTCCAATATCATTTATTCAAAGACGTTTCTCAGATAACGGTATGTTTCTATATGATATATTCCGCTATTACATGCTCTACAAACTAACCTGAGAAAATTGTTACAATGTTCTTGTCAGGATCACAAGTGGTGAATGTATACATTTGCTAAAGTTCTGTTGCTTTCATAATTTAGTTTAGTTTATACCTACATTTTATGTGGAACTGAAAATTCAGTTTTTAAAGTGTTACATTTAGACAGTGAATCTATTATTCAGGGCAAAAATGACAGCTGTTGAATACTGTAGATGCTGGATATATAAATGTCTCATGTAAATTTGTGAACAAAACACAGTATTGCTACACTAATGTTAAATTTGCTCTATGGATTTATATATGGAAGAGTTAGTATGCATATTTCCATTGGAAAATGCACTTATATTCTTATCTTGATTTGCATTTTGTGATATAGGCAGTTTACTGAAAGGCAGCTTTCTAGTTTGCCTACAATGTGTTTTTATCTCAAGTTCAGACCACCTGTAGCCATAATTTATATTCTCAATAATATATTTTTACTTAGGTAAAGATGTACATATATAGTTTAGCTATATATTATGATTGCCTGTTAGGCTATAATTAACTAATAATAATGCTCTCACTGTAGTGCGTCATTATTGATACTATCTTTCTTCCAATGCATTTTTTCATTTTTAATGCCTTTTAGTTGCACTATTCTATTTTCCAAATAATAAACACAATCCATACAAAGAGAAATGAATAATCTGCATGAATGAATCCCCAGGAATTATAAAGCTGGAAATCTTTTTAACTATTTCCATGTCTTAAATTCATATCTATTTAACAGGCTAAATTTGTGGCCAGTTTGCCCAGGAAACAGTGAAGTCAGGGTCTAGTCCATGTTGTTTTTTGCAATTTCAATGCACTGACTGGTCACCTCACCCTAGCATGATTAAATCAACTCCACACAATGTTTTTATGCATCTATAGAAAATAATGCATTGTTAACGTGACATATAGCCAATATAACCAAGGAGCAGCGTGGCAGCGTCTTCAGACAACTTAGCATCAAATGTGGTATAACAACTGCCTAAATAGACAAAACACTTCTCGACGTTTCGAAAGGTTACATTTGACATATAGCCATGCAGACAAATTTTGCCATCTAGCTGTTTTACTAAATTTGAAATGCATTAGGTCTGGAAAAGGATTTTAAAATGAATCCTTGAATTTTAGACCCCAAATCTACCGTTTAAAAGTGGCATAGCGAGCCTGATGATTTACTTAGACTGCTATGCTAATTCTCAGTCTTGATATTATGTAATTATTTATTTATTTAGAAATTCATTGTTTTCACAGACTAATGACCACTAAAAGATTAGCAAATTATTGGTTCTAAATTTCCAGACTGGCTTTGCTGTTGCCTCTCAAGCTTACAATATTGAGCCAGCTATAGGTTTATAGTAGCAGGTATTAACCTAATGCCAACAAACTACTGACACAGCACATCTCCCCTCCATATTATTGACTTGCTGCCAGCAGGCTACTGTACTGCTCACTACCAAATCCTCTGGAGTGATGTTTCAATGTTTCTAATCATATTGTAATATTGGAAGCTAATCTTAAGACCAGATAATATCTGCATGTCCCTCATTAGTGATTGCTGAGTTGCTGTATACAATAATAACAGTATATAAATTTAATTTCATTCTTATATTTTGCAATCTCTAATTTACATGGCATTCACCAATGTAAAATTATATTATTACATTACCAGCTATTGAATTATTTGATTATTAAACACTGGCAGACACAGTAGTTTTGTGAACGAATCCAAAGTGACCTACTCCACAGAAAAAATTTTGCACCCCTGCACTAAAAAATAGAGAGTTTTAGCAGCGACCACGAGTACGAGATTCGTGCTTGTTCGTGCGTTGTTTGCTTTCGCCATCAGCCAAAACTCGTAGTCGTCGGACTTTTGAAATTTGCCAGCAAACTCGTACTCGAAAGCCGGTGTCAAGCGAAATTTATGACCATTGCGAAATACATGGGCGACTACGAGCTTTGGCTGATGGCGTAAACAAACAACGCACGAGAATGGCGAATGTCGTACTCGTGGTCACTGCTAAAACTCCCCAATATTCAATAGAATATGACAAAAACTGAGGTTTTTTCCATCTATAATGACAGACATATACCCATAACCCTAACCTGTGCCGTGATGCAGACTTTACTTGGAATCTATGCTTCATGCTATCGTAATGCATGGTAGTTCCATGGTTTAGGTATGGCTTCGCTAATTTTACTTAAATGTTTCTCCCTCCCCCAAATTCCCATAGGCAGCCCAAATATGCGTGATAATTTGAACGCGAAAAATTTTAAGATTTCTCGCGTTCAAATTATCACGCCTACTTGGGCTGCCTATGGTCACCCTTAAGTTTTCCATCAACCATGAACCCTCTGACTTTTTTTGTTTCATAGTTACAGCAAATGGCATAAATGAGTGTGATGAGGATGCCGCTGATATTATTGGAACCCCATCAACACCATCTACACCAGGTTTGTTTTGAAACTAACATGAATTTTTTATTTGTGTGATGGCCGGCACTCTTGTAAAAGACATTACTGTTAAATATTGAGATGAGTCAAAGAATAGAACTCCTATTAAATCGAGTCGTAAGCATTAACAAGTAAACATAGCGCAGGGTTACACGATGCAATTTTCGTGCAACCTCCAACGCAATTCCAGTTTGCAGAGGTGTAAAAAATTACCGGTATAGGGAAATACAAGTTAACTGGATAAGAAGAAAACTTGTTTTTAACAATAGCTGAATTCATATTAGAGACAGGAAACTCGTCTTAGACGGGAAACTCATCGAAGACGAGAAACTCGTCTGATGTGAATCCGGTCGCAGAAGGGTTTCTCGTCTGAATTTTTTCCCGTCTGACTTTCCCCTTTCCTGTCTAAACAGACGGGTAAGTCTGAGATGAGTTTCCCGTCTCTAATGTGAATTCGGCTAATCTGAACGGCCAAACAGAGGGAAGAATCGTGTAGATGAAATGCCTTAATGGATAATTTTAAACAATTAGAATTTAAGCCTGTAGTGATATTCATCAGTACACCTGCAGGAGCCGGTTGTTCAAAAGCCGGTTAACGCGAATTTTTACATAAATTTTTATCATCGCTTGCATGTTCATAAAAGTTGAATATTTTTTACTATGAGTATTTTATGGTTCAATAGAAATCATATTTTGTAAAGTTTTGAAACAAGCGGCGGTGCAGAAACACGTAAACTAAAACAGCGTATTAAAATTTAACCCAGTGTTAGCGCTAACCCAGATTTGAATGAGTCACCTTGAATATTATGCACTGAATATGTAGCATGTAAACAGTATCTTTGCATTTAGGTTAAAAACATTTAGTTCGGTTGTTGAATAAAACGATAGACTTGCTTTCTATTTTGAGTTTATTCACAGTTTAAGCTAAACGGGCTGGATACAAGCGCCGCCTGAGAGATTATCCGAATTGGTGGCGAAATGTTAGAAAACATTATACCGTTTGAAGTTGGTTACATTTTGTTATATATTATTGCGCGTGGGAAAGCCTTACCATGCACTTTTTCGCATTCTTCAATATTTTGCAACCATGCAAGCTTCCTATAGTTCACAGTGTCCCAGCATTACTTTTAAATCAGCTGCTTAAAATTTAACTCGGGTGTTGCGCTAACTATGATCACGGGCCCCTGATCAATATTCAAATTACTTTGACTATTAATTAAATTTAAATGAATATTAGTTATTATTTACCAAATTGATTTGATAAAAACTGTGAAATTTCCATAATGTAATTTGTTGTCTAGACGATCTAGTTTAAATTAGCAACAGCAATAATGAAATTTCCTTTCTAGCTGGGTATCAAATAATCAGATATTTGAAAATTATACCATTAATTTTTCCAAAATGCAAAGCTAATATATGTACGGTGTTTGTGTGCGTAAAAGAATGTCGAAGTCCTTTTTAGGCAAGGCAAGCTTCTCCATCACATTCTAGCAAATAAGTTTGGAAAGGATACTGCATTTCAGCCAGGATTAAACTATATAGCTATTTCAGTTATGATTTTTGGCATTTCACTAGATGCATGTATATTCTAGTGGTTCAAAGGGTCTTAATTTCGAGTGGAATTCAAATTCACAATAAGCGCTATTCGCACACTTCAAATTCAAGCTAGGAACAGTTTATGGAAAAATGAGTCAACTATAGGTCCTTCGGCAGGAATCGAGCCTACGCTTTTGCGATGCCCATGCAATGCTCTTGTCGCCAATAGTGAAACCTCTATGTATAGCTATTTGCCTATACTTCACAAAATGTTTGTTTGTATACCGTAAAAAGGTAATGTTCATTAACATTGGTTCTATTAGTCTCCGAGATTTCCATGTATTATGTTCATCTGTCACTCTGACAGTAAAGATCTTTCCAGTACAAAGTAGACCCGACCCGATCAGATAATTTATATATATCTGCATGTCTGGTATATGTTCCACTAAAATTTGCCACTTCCTGGACCAATTTTCTTGGAGATATTTTGTATGCCTCCTCTTTCAAACCTTCTTCAGCGGCTGTGTTTAATTCGAATTTTTCAGTAAGTATACTTGAGAAAGAATGATTGGCGAAGTACGTTTAAAAATAGACATTTCTTCAGCCGAGAAAAAAATCAAATTTAGGTTTATGTAAATCAGGACAAACGTGTTTGCGGCTTACAGACATTGATTAAACCTTCATATCTTTTGATTCTTTTTTTCATAAAATTAAAATTCCTCGATTAAATACAAATTTTCTTTATACAAATGTTCTTATATATATTCACACATTATGTATTAGAGGTTAACCTTCAGAAGAGTGTCTTTCAGTCGAGAAAAAATAGATTTCTTTAATTTGCATGTTCTCTGTTTGGTTAATTATCTCTTCATTTGGTTTCAGTGTATCAAGTGCATGATGATAATTATAGACGTGAAGCGTGTTACTCTGATATTTCAACCTCACGACCACATTACCACACTATTATCACGATCACCGCAATTTATCTTTCTTCACAAAATCGAGGCGAGGAAGCTTTTGTAATCCCAGGATTTTAATAATCCAGGCATTATGGCTAAATTTCTTTATATTGCATGGCCGACGGCCGACCATGTGGATATAATCGTTGCGACATCTTTAAAATCCATTAAGTTTCAACATTCTTTGTTGAATTTTCGTTAAGGCCCTGTTACACGGTGCAAATTTTTTTGCAACTTGCAATGCAATTCTACTTTTGATAGATGTAAATTTGGCTACTATACGAAACTTTTATGTTTATTACACTCCATGTTCGTTTCTTACACTTACATTTTGAATACTCTGTACTAAATTACATCTCTTAATAGTAGGATGGCATAACAAGTTGCAAGAAAAATTGCACCGTGTAACATGACCTTTTGTAGTAATTAAATAATTTTTAAGCCACATATCGATCGATGTCTTATTTACATTATACTTTCATCAACACATGTCGACGATCGTAAATAAATGCCTAAGCATGCTTTCATGCACGCAAGCGTAGAATGCTAAAATTTGACCTCGAGCAAGCATTTGTGGATTGAATTAGGAAGTATATAGACACCAGCTATGACTCAGGAGGTGCTAGTAAAGATTTTGTGTTTCTGTGATTCTCGGTCAATTCACGAATATTTTGATAGATTACGGTTGAGGGGGTGAAAGTTTAGGGGCGGGGGTAGGGTTGAGATATGGGTTGGCCCTTGTAAAAATGGAATTGAGTTCGCTATCCTGTAGAAATGTTAGGATGAAGGTGTTCAGCGTGGATACATAGTTTACCTATACCTACCTATCCACTGGGTATAATGACTTTTAAATCGCTCTAAAATTGCCCGTTATTCTGTAGAACGTTGTTCGCGGTTTTCTACTTGCATGAAATTTTCGATCGAAATCGAACGACAATTTTCGCTTCATTTTGATTGCAATTGTGACCGGTCAATGCAATCCGCTGCGGTCAAATTCTCACAACTGAAAAGAAAATCAGACGAAAAATGTCGTTTGATTGATAGAAATTCCCTTGTGCATGGAACTGCCTTTGATAATAATGTGGAAAATCAAATAACACTAATAATTCACAACCAATTTAGGCGACGAAAACTTTATAGCCGATTACTTTTGTATATCCGGCTTTAAAAGGTGGGACGGAACCCGAAAAGAACAAAGTTCAACACAAATCCTAGATTATAGCTACATGCATGCAGTTTGCGCCACTCGCATGGCTCATGCATGCTATTGATGTATGTTTGAGTATTATTTTAAGATTAATCACCCCGTTTGCTTGCATTTAACATACTGTAATGCTCGTATTCTTGTATCAATTACAACATTCTTAACTATGTAACGGTTGGGCAGATTTTGGTCACTGCAATATAGCCATTATAGGCAAGGTAAAATAACTGAAAATATCAGAAAAATCTGCACGTCGCGAATTTATCTACTTCATTTTCTTGCCAGTCAAAACACCGCATGATCGTTTCTCATTATTACTAAATTAATATTCCGTATATGTCAGAATAATTATTAAAGTAATTATATGAAATATGTTTAAACTCAGCTTTTTCGACGTTCATTCTCCTTATCAGACTGATAATGAATTGAAAAATTGTTTGTATATCTTAATAAAAATGTATAAGTTAGTATCTTTGAAACATGAAGTTAGTATTATTTTGTAAATCACTTTAACTTCCGAGTCAAGCGGTATTTTTTAGCATTTTTTATAAAGTTACTATAGCATAAGTAATGAATTTCGAATAATTTGGAACGCGGTGCATTGGGAAAATTGAAATACCCCGCTAAGACCGCGAGGTATTTATTTATAATCACACTGTGTGTATCTGCAGACGGTATTTCCCGCGTTATCAGATTTCGCTTCCGTTTGAAATCGTTATGGACAGAAGATTTGCGGTGTATATTTTCAAAATCGCACGCCTTCACTCGTAGCTTATTATTAAAACATAAATGAACTGACATCAGCTGGCTTGTCCGTGTACACAAAAAGCTAATATAATATAATGGAATATGGCGTCCTTTTATGCTGAATGACATAACGCTGCTTTAATAATATATAAGAACTTCACGGCTATTAACAAAACTATGCTTATATTCTGCCGTGTTTTTCGGTCATGTTTGTTTCTCCCGAGTGTCATTTGTAATCGGTATTCTTAAATGACAATGAAACTTGGCTGTCGCTTGAAAATCTCAGGTAATGTAATTATTGTTTATACTTTCTTTTAGCATTATTATATGCCGTATGTAAAGTGATTTTTTTAAAGCTTAGCTTACAAATGTTATTATTCCATATATACTTTTATTGTGTGTGTGTGTTGCAACGTGTAATTAAATAAACATGCAAAATCAACCGAGAATTTCAACGATTCCAAGTGTAATTGCGTGTTAGTTATTGAAGTAAGCTGAAAATCGCTCAGCGGCTGTTACCGTGGGCACATGACGGAAGGACAACAACAGACATGCATCATAAATTGTCTGCACACGTTGTCTACTGTCTGTCAACGCAATTATATTGTCGCCAGTTGATAAACACCATTGTATATGCGGACGCTGAAAAGTTAATTCTATCGCGTGGCTTGAAATATTTGCATTTTTTCACAATACTTCATGTATGTAGTATACTTTATATTGTTTGGATCGTCACATTCTAAAAATATGGCACTCTGATAACATCTAAATTTTGCCATGTGCCTAAGCAGGGGCGTAAGCAAGGATAATTTCTATACTCTTAGTATTTCTTCTGAAATATATTGTGATTACATACATACATTGTGTTAGCTGTTGAATATCGTTCTTCTGTGAGTAAACTATACAATGATGAAATATATTCAAATGATATATGATTGCGAATGATGATAAATCTAAGAATAGTAATTTATACCTGTCAAAACCTCATTTCAATGATTTCATTTTTTTCTTGCTCCCACTGAACGCTAATACAACTGGAACGATATCCCAGCAGAATGATTCAGAACGAGCGAGTTTTGAGCAGAAATACTTGCACTGCACATGCGCTGAATGTTGAAATGTCTATGAGACTAAAGCACTAAGATTTTTTAGTGTCAACATACTGAAATGACCTGAAGTACCTGAATGCCGAAAATCCGCTGCACGGTGGCACATCACAGTAGATGATTTGGGTAGTGCCGTCGCAGCTCCTCGCAAGAATGATTTTCATTGGCTGAACTTTACAATACATTTCTGTTTCAAACAATAGCATAGCTTCGTTCTTTAGAAAGCATAGAAAAGCATTATCCAATTTGACGAAAGCCTCCGAGCACTGCGACATGTCCCGATGTTTTTAATGTAAGGTACAAATAGGTGCAAATCGCGCAATGGACTGGAACACAGGCTAAAATAGGGGAAGCACACTGTAATGCTTTAATCCATATGTGTTTTCAGGCGATGAAAATGGAGAGAAAGGTTTCATCAGGAGTGACTCGACATCAAGGTCACCAACCAGAGCTGTCGGAAGGAAAGCGGTACGTTTATATATCCAGAGTTCACGATTGATATTTCTAGTGCATGTTTTATTAGATGATTGTGTACTGTATAATAATGTCGTTTTATTCTGTTTATTTCCGTTTTTATTTTCTCATGTAGCCCGATAGATCGCCGAAATTTGATAGGAAGGTGTCCTTAAAGGTACGGTGCATTGTATTTGATATGTGTTTGGTATGCTTTTTATAATTACAAAATTTAACAGGCTTTGGAAAGTAATGGTCAGCAGTATTTCGTTCAAAATTGAGCTAAAACACGTGACACATTATGCATGTGGTTAATGTTATTTGTCAAAAACACGTATTGTTAAGTAATATACCAATAAGTCAATAAGTACAGTTATGAATTAAAGTCTACAGTTTTTTCACATTAGATACACTGGTATGGTATAACAACTGCCTGAAATAGACAAAAACACGTTTCGACGGTTCGACCTAGGGCCTTTTTGATGACTATACCACATTTGATGCGAATTCCTTTGAGGACCCTTGGTTATATTAGAATGTAACATGAAGTATATTTGTTTCAGGAAATGAAGAAAAGTTATAAACACGAGAAGCGACGTATGGCAAAGAAAGTGACAAGTACGATGCTCGATCCAGCGGTTATTATACTGTCATCGTGGTTAAAGGTTAGTGCAAAATATTCCTTTTTGGCTTGAATAATTTCCGTTTGCTTGGCATTTGCACGAAATTTTTTAGCGCAAGGATTACAATGGTGTTATTTCCTATAGCGAAGATACTGTAACCTGACACTGCATTGCCGAATTATTAGAAGTTTACGATATATAGGACGGTGTTAAGGTCTGTTCACACGATCCAATTTTGTTGGATCTAATTCACTTCTGATGGATGTTTTATAGTCTGTTGTCTTGTAATGTAAACGAGCAGAAAATCAACTTAAACCAATGCACTACGGCTTCATCAATACGCGACTATATTTCATACATCAGACGTGAATTGGGTCCAAATAAATTGGATCGTGTGAAGACCTTTGCACAGTGCAATTTTTCTCTCAACTTGCGATGCAGTTTTACTTTTGCGGTGTAAATTTGACAACTACGCAATTTGTTCGATAATTTGTTTATTACGCTCCACAGATGTTTTACTTATATATGAGAGCATGTTTTTGTTTCCGAAGGTTTCGTAATGACAATGTTGTTCAGCATCGTGACCTTTGAGATTACCCAAGGCGGCAGATTTCGTGAGTTTCTCTTGAAGGCTTTTATTTTCATCATCTTCGACTACCACTAGTTTTTGCTTTGTTTTACCAGACCACTTGAGCGTATGGTTTTTACTCGTGAATTTTTTAACTTCCCCACCAGTAGATTTCCACGAGCCGTCAATGCCCAGGGCTGATTGTACAAATACTTTCAGACTCTCGTACGAGCCTTTCCAGACAAATTCCTCGTTTATTTTCACTAGATTTGATTGCTTAAAAGGTGTAGAAGTTATAAGCATACTTTGTTCCTGCTTATCTTGAGAGAAAAGTCTGAGGTCAAAAGTCTGAGTCCAGTCAATATGATTTTTGTCACATTAATATCACGACATCACTGCATGTGCATGTAATCATGTTATAAGATTTAGCTAACACAAATTGGTGCTGTTCTAATAAGTATTTTGTATGACCTCTTTTACGTTTTAAAACAGATTTGACTTTTCCCTCATACTTTTGATCCCCACTGTACATTTCGAAAACTCTTCACTAATTTGCATCTTTCAAAAGTAGAATTACATTGCTATTTGCGAGAAAAATTGCATCGTGTGAGGCTGCGTTCATACGACGCGGCCAGTTTCACGACGCGCTTGCAAGACAAATAAATCATACGTGATACGTGCGTGACAGACGTTATGGTCCCACCTTAACCGTTTAATTTCTTATTAAGCCTTCAAATATGAGACATTTTCTCCGCTTCTCGACGGTTTCAAAACAGCTGTTTCGTGAAACTTAATGTTTTATAGCGGTAACGGACCCGCAATATCATCAGTCTAGACGTCTCTAGACTACAAGTAATTTCCGTGCATATATAGCTTGCTTGCATGTGCTTCACAGCAAAATTTTCATTCTTATTTTAGGAAATTTATTACTTGTTTTAGGTAATATATTTCTTAATTCAAGTAAATATTTATACTATAGTCCGTATAGTGAGGGGTTTTTGCTGTCAAATAATTCGTTTCTTGCTTACGTTGTAAGAATTTTCTTAATGGAGAGAAACCCCCACTTAAAACAATAACTAATTTTTCTCAATATTTAAGGAATAGAAAACATTTTCCGTGTTTCTATACAGTTATAGAAACACGCGTGGGAGTTTGGGAGAACGAGAAATAATCAGTGGGAAAACGAGCCCGTAGGGCGAGATAGCAAAATTTCGATTCAATTACAAATTCTCATTACATCGCTTCGCTTGTCAAGTTCGGCGGGAAAATTCCCGTGTTTCTATACAGTTATAGAAACACGCTTCTCTTTAGGATTAAAATAAGGAAATTGGCAGTAGAAAAGAAACAAATACATAATTTTGGAAAAACTGATATATGCCGTTTGCACTGGTTCAAAAGTAGTGTCGATGTTTGAGGACGTTTTAAAATTTATCCAGTTGTAAGCTCTGATATCAGCTAGGAATTGCTGCATGGCTGGAATTCAGAGTTCCTCGGCACAATATAGACATTATATAGTATTATCGTCAAAACGTGCTTTTTGGAAGATAACGCTACACACGTGTAGTCTATTATTTTTGTTATCTCAATGTTTATATATTCACTGTTTATCTCTAAACAATTTAAAATTAGTTACCTCAGATTTATTTATAGTTTCTATTTTTGATTGCGTTAAACAGCTAGAGATATGGTTGGAACAACCAATTTTTTGTTTTTACTAAATAGAATTGATAAAAAAGAGATGAATCTGATACCAACCAATTTCAAATTTATAGTTATTTTCACAATCTGATCTTCAAAGCAATGCATAAAAAAATCATAAATAACCTACATAATCCCAGTCTAGGCCCCAGTCCCTTTTGTATTTATGATTGAATAAGAGGATTGGCACAGGATGTTTTGTCTGATAGTTTAAGATAGCAAAGTCCTTATTGTTATCAGATCAACGCTATTAGTGCACTGTAAGTGTTTGTTATGGCGAATGAGGACTGAGTCGATCTTTTATGGCAGCAATTCTCATAATTCCAATCCAACTTTTTATAGATCAGAGGAACGTTAAAAAATTGGGCAAGATTTTGGTGTTTAGTTAAACCTGGTGCTTTGATTATTTACAGAAATGATAAGGTAAGGTACATGTAGTGCCGTATTTATAACGTTGCAGTCGTGCAAAAATTACCAGGTTCTAAGACACGCAGTTCACCTAAAGTGATTTTCGTGGTTCTAATATATCAATCCTTTGTTGTACTCTTCTGAAGCCTTACACAGATATCTGCGTTTGCAATACAATCCTTAATGATCGTTTCCTCTCATCGCAAAATCAACTCGCAAGCTCGCTGCGAGTGTTTGCATCTAATTAAAATAAACTGTCAAGCATTGTGATTGGACGAGATACACACAGCGAGCTTGCGAGTTAGTTTTTGCGATGAGTGGGTGAGAGCCTTTAGCATGCTCTTCAAAATAATTATTATTGTATTGTTGAAACTACCGTGAGGCTGGCTATTTCTAGAGTCTGATCAAATCTTTAGTCTTTAAGCCGGTTTTCCACTAGCGATATTTTTCGCGCGAAACGACATTTTACTTTTGTTTCAGAGCTCTCAACTGCAACCATCTGGAACGAATTGCCCAAATACAAAGGAATAAATTCGCTTCGCGCGAAAAATATCGCTAGTGGAAAACAGGCATTAGTCTGGTGATATCATCATCGGTTGTCAGTCTCCTCTGAGTATCCAAAAAAAAAGTCAATCTCGCACTGCATGTAATGTTTTTTTGTTCCCACGGACGATTTGATGGTGTTATGAGAATGTTGCAACATCGTTGTATTGTATGTTTAGGAAGAACAATGGGTTGGCACGGTGATTTTGAATGGATGTGAAGTTATCGAACGACCATCAAAGAAAGAAGGATTTTGCTTTAAAATTTATCATCCTTTGCAAAATTACATTTGGGCCACAAAGGTGAGGCCAAGATTTTTGTGCCCATGGGTGCATATTTTAATGGATGTTGATTTTGTATACACGGCAAAAAACGCTCAATATTGTTAAAACAAGTTGGAACAACATTGTTGACAACATTGTTCATGGGGTGCAGCACAACATTGTTGAGGCCTGTTCTCATCAACCGGGAACAACTTGAGCGTTTTTACCGTGTTATTATGGAATGCACAATAATTATATAACTTACACTTTATATAGTCGAGGATATTTTAGCTCGACTACTCTCTGTCAAACTGTATACATAGGATGACTTTATTAGGTTGGTGCTTTCCATTTGGAATATAGGAGTAAATCTGATTTAATGTAGCGTAAAATTGGTTTGTCCCTTGTGCAAAGCTATAAGCAAGCAGGGTTAAGTGTGTGATACACGCCGACGTCATTGTGAAAGTATTCAATGCATTGAACAAACAGTTTGTTAAAAACCTTTGCACGCTTCTATCCTGATTATCTGAAGCAAAATGAATTTTAAAAGCAATCATTTGTTGTTCTTTGTATGTTAGGGTCCGCGAGGGGAAATTGCGGGTGCATTGGTTGGCATCCCTTTGCCGAAAGATCATTTAATACTACGTGCTGCGTCAGAATCAGACGGTGAGTAATTTGTAGTAAATGTGATTTCCACGCCGTCTTTATTTTCTCTTTTTGGCAACGTTGACAAGTGCATGTACTAGTTTTAGTTTTCTCGTTTCTGCTGTTTTCATTTACTTAATTTACTTTTCACGCACGTTCTTGATAAGATTTGTGCTATCATGCAAATAGCTTTCAAACTAGCAAGTAGATTTCAAACTATTATTTTACGATACAATTCGTTTTTTGTATAGGTAAATGTTGGCTGGATGCTTTGGAGGTTTCTCACAAGCAGGCGTACAATATGCACAGAGACAGTAAAGGAATGTGAGTGTCAAATGAATAATAACAAGGGGGGGATTTCGTTTAACGTACCGCCAAGCCAATCAGATTACCTTAATTCTTGGTACTTCATGTAATACTGTAAATAATGTACTTTTTCCTGGAAGTATTCAATATTTATGCATTCTGATTGGGGGAATGAAAATGTAAACAAATTTGATGATTGATCTAAAACGAAATTCCTCCTTGTTATGAGTATTTAGTGATCGCGTTTGTTGTACACCAATGACTTATGTTATTATTCTTCCTTGTAGGGTGAGTGACCTTTATGGTAAAATGACGTCATCCGAAGATCTGGATGAGGAGACTGCACAAGGTTTGTTTCTTTAGTAAACGTCAGGCGCGTTGCGTTTTAAAAACGTACCCGAACTGAGTAAAATACCAATTACATATCATATGCCAACTTTTAGTCGATTCTGAAGTTAACTTGTGCTCTAAAGAAGTTAACTGATTTTGTTTTTTTTCTGTTTATTGCCATTATTATCAATGTCGTGTGATATTGAGTGACGTAAAAATGCAGCAACAATGTGATTTTAATAATTATAGTGACTGCGTGGACCTCTCTAATAATTACATCAAACGCAGAAAGTCTAATGTCACACAAAGTTTCATTCGGGAGCTTTAGCTGTAACTATGCATGCGTGCTTTTTGCTTTCGCCATCAGCCAAAGCTCGTAGTCGTCGAGCTTCTAAATACGAATTGGTTGATAAACTTCGTATTCAAAAGCCGGACGACTAAGTGTTTCGTCAGATGACGTAAGCAACATCCAGGCTTCCGCGTTTGACGTCATAATTACATGAGAAAGGTCTATAAGATTTAACCGTACATGCAAGAATACAATTTCAATAAGGATGGACGTTGAAATAGTTTTCCCGCGATGGAATAAGCCAGGATTGCATTTTGTATTGCAGCCATTGGTCAGTTGAGTATTCGTGAACGAGATATTGATGAAATCAGCAATGACGCTATGGTAAGTCGTTTTCATCCCATTTGGACAACCAGAAATACGTGCAAGAATAAATTCGGTATTACACACGGTGCAATTTTTCACTTGCAAATTGCAATACACATGTCTCTTCGTCATTGCTCTCTTTTGTACGCTTAAGAGAGAGAGAAATACCTACCTCCAATGTTTTTTCTCATACAGGACAAATCCGACTCTGAAGACGACATTGGAGATCAGGAAGTCAAAGGTCATTCAGGTGTTTGTTGGGATTAAACAGGGTGCACTATAGAGATCTTTGTTCCGTTTATACGCATGATGCATGCACGTTGTGACACGTTGGTATAGTTACAATATAGACCATAACAATCAAATTATACTCGCAGAAAAGCTTTGAAGCATATATACACTAGGCGAAAGTCAAGTTAAATGAGGCAGTATAAAGATCATTCTCTTCAGGGCCCTAGCCAAACCGCTTAATTCGAAGGGGGGGTTGATGTATATTCAAACATTCACGTTCACATCTCGTGAAAACAATATAAATCCCCCCCCCCCCAACTAAGCTTCTAGCTACAGCACAACTCCGGTTTTCTTAAACCAATGACCTGCTTTGGTCTTTGGATCAGATTTAGCAAAGTGCGAAAGCCTTGTTTCTATTTCGTCGGAATTGTCATTAACATCATGCAAGTGATATAAACGCGTGTTTTCTGTATTCAAATGGTGGTTCACTCCATGCATGCGACACGTAGCAACATTCTATTACTTTCTTGTACAGACGAAGGTGATGAAGGACCACATGTAGAAACAGTTTACGTAGAGGAGAATGAACCAGAGTACCTTGGAGAAGTAAGGAAGAAATAGTCGTTATTGACTATGTTTACACAAGCGCCGTTTTCAAACGTTTTAAAAACGTTTATTCTTGCTTGGTTACTGTTTTGACGCCGTCTTTACGTGATCCGAAGGAAAGCATACAGCAGTGTCCAGCATATACTGAATGATAAAAAATTAAACTACCTATTTCCTAATATATTGCGCTCAAAGTCTCAGATAAGACACTAAACTGTAAATTTGCACCAGAGTAATTATAATTGGGTGACAATTTAAGTACCTATGAATCCCTAAAATTTGAACCGGTACAAAAATTGGCATCCTTCTTCACCCCCATGCAGTACCTGGGCACAGTGGCGTAGCCAGCCTGACGATTTATTCGTGCTATGCAAATTTTATGTTATTATCATTATTCATTTCTTTGCAAATTCATTGTTTTCACAGTCAGTGAAGACCAAAATCTTAGCATAGCATGACTAAATTGTCGGGCTGGCTACGCTACTGCCTGGGCATTATAGTTACACACAACCTACCCCTGCCAATCAATCGTTAACCATCTCGCGGATGACTCCTGTCCTGTTGTAAACATTCAGTCTGTATAGCTGGCTAAATTACCTACGACGAAGCTGTGCTTTTGGGAAAATATCCGGGATTGAAAGGTTCTTTTGTTTTTAGTCGGGTGAAGCAACTGAGGACATGGAGGATGAAGGAAAAAGTATTCTATGGACTCTGATGAAACAGGTTTGTGTATAAATTATATAAATATATGTATTCTGTTTCAGACGTCGAACTTTTCATCTGATTTTATACGATTTTTTTCTGTTTTTTTAAGGTTAAACCTGGGATGGACCTCTCCAAAGTTGTTCTCCCAACTTTTATCCTTGAACCGAGATCATTTCTTGATAAATTATCTGATTTTTATTACCACGCTGATATCCTTTCTAAGTATGTCAAATTTATGGTTTGAATTGCATAGTTAGGTTTGTTTCGAAGCCGCTGTGATGGCCTCAACTCTCTGATAATAAGTAGAAGATATCCATAATGTTTGTGTGTATTTTATGTAGGTCGTTGAAAAATGTGTAAAACTTTAATCAAATGTGAACGTATCAATTGCAAATAACTCAACGCAGAGCCAAAACTAGAACGAAAATTCGGAGGGGGAGTATTTCCATGAATATTTCTTTTGTAAGTGCAATAGCTTGCAAAGAAATCCGTCCGGAATAGCTGTATATATGAATGAACATCCCCGGCTCAATTTACTTTCTAGTTTCGGTGTTGCCTGAACGACCTTTTAACATCGCTACTAAATGCATAGTAATAACTTTGCTTCGCGATCACTGACGTCACTGAACTCACAGCGCACCTGGACTAACTTTTAATATTTCAAAGAATATTTATTGGGATTCATATGCTAAATGTATTATTTTTATGGATATTTTAATATGTTTGTACTTATAATATATTTTTCCTTTCATCTGTTGTATTTTTGTCATTTTCAGAGCTGTTAAACAAGAAAGTCCCTATGATCGAATGAAACATGTTGTCAAATGGTATCTCTCTGGATTTTACAAAAAACCAAAGGTATATCCATCCAGCAATGACGTTCAACTTTGTTATTTATTATATCTTAAAACTCGAGGTTTTGGATGATTGCATGGTCCTGAGTGCCTAAAAAATTAATCGTTCAGCAGTTGATTTAATTGCATGTATTTGGACCGCAAGTACAGACTGTACAGTACAATGTAGTTGCTATTTCTTTACGGCTATATGTATAGCGTAGGTCGTTTACACAACTATATACCACCCCTCAAAGCGTGTTTAAAACAATCTCCTTGTTTTTCCATCATTACAATAGGAATGTATATAATTACATGGCATTTTTAAGGCCCATTTACACTACGCGATTTGTCGTATACGAAGTATGAACACACGTACAAACATGACACTTTAAGTTCCACCCTGAACAAAATTGAATGAAGATTGATGCATAGGCCCTCTGTTGCATCCGTCAGAATGATAATTGCATACAACTTATCATGTAGTCTAAATAGGCATTAGCCTAATGACAAATCCTAATTAATTATATAGTGGCTAATGACAAAAATATATATTATAGTCTATGCAAGGCATTAGCCTTTATTGTAGACTGTTATATACAAAGTCTGCCTCTTTGCCAATCGGAAACATGCTTTTTCCACCAATAAACACCCTTTTTTTAAACACATACATTTTCTCCTACCCAGGGCCTGAAGAAACCTTACAACCCAATCATTGGTGAAAGGTTCCGTTGTTACTGGAGTCATCAGGAGACTGACTCAAGGACATTTTTCGTTGCTGAGCAGCTGTCACATCATCCACCAATATCTGGATTTTATGTCGCTAATAGACAGGATGGTTTTGTTGTCAACGGCTGTATTTTGGCTAAATCAAAATTTTATGGTGAGTATAGTCAATTTTTTGTCCAAAACCTTTGAAAACAGGACAGGATGCTATCCACCGGGTAGTGTTTTTTTCAATCGCTTCAAAATCCCACGCTGTTTGCTATAACTTTGCTATACATTCCTAAATCTAGGATCCTCTTTAATATTTGTTTGCCCCAAAGATCAAATGTTATCGCTTTAGAGTATTTATATTAATTTTAAATTTTGATTCTTTGGGTATACAACTAGATGTTGTTGTTCTTCGTTTCCATACGAGTACATACGTTTTTGTAATGATTGATACGCATATGTAGTCTTCCCATCTTGACAAAAATGTTATTTCTGCGTTGAGCAATCACCGTGAATCACTAAATATACCATGCAGGGGAGGTGTAATACGACCAGCTAAATCAAAATCGTAAGCTAAAAGTTTTGTATAATTTTTTAACAAGGTAATTCAACGTCAGCTATAATGGATGGTCTAGCCAACCTCACATTGTTACCTCATGGCGAAGATTACGTCATCTCAATGCCGTATGCTCATTGTAAAGGTGAGATTCCTTAGTTCACCCTTCTAATAGTAACATATCTTTCTACTGAAGATCGAAATCAGGCGCTTCAGGTCTGAAGAAAAGTAATACAACAGTGTGTATAGAGATCAGTGAGTTACTTTTCACTCAAGGTAAAAGCGTCTTTCTGATTGCCTCCGAGTAAGTCAGCTTTTTTGAGCTCATCTGCTGACGCTCGAACCTATCTGCTGACGATTTTTTACGAGGGGTTCAGATCCTCACGATTTCCGTCGAAAGTTGTACGGCAAAATTAATGGCACAATGACAATGCTTCCGCAGCTTGTGCGCCTTTGCAAATAAAAGAGAGTATTTTAGAGATTTTCTAAGCTTTAATTCGAGAATAAACTCGTTTGCTTGCGTTGTACTTTGGAGACTAAAATGTTCGTTTCTGAATAAGACACTACAGCATACTGTATAGTGTATACTATTATACTCAATATTCTGTTCAACAAATTCTACAATCCTGTGCAGTTTTTCCCGAATTGGCATAAAATAAAAACCCCAACATAGTTACATTTTCAATGTTGCCGGTTTTTTAGCACATCTGGTCTTTGTAATGACGTAATTTAAGGGCTCCAGATTACAAGCAAGACTAAAGATACAACCGTGTAGCATTAGCATAGGTATGATAGTATGTAACGATATATGTTTTTGTTCTCTCATTATTCATTCTTTGCTCTCCCTTTTCAGGCCTTCTCATCGGCACCCTCACTATGGAGTATGGTGGCACAGTGAAGATTGAATGCGAGAAGACTGGATACCACACTGAAATCGAGTTTAAACTGAAGGTAAAGATGGTTACATTTACAAACAAACAAAATGGCGGAAAGATTTGGGGAGTTGAGTGAAACAGAAATCCAAGCTTTAGTTGATAATAGCACACCAAAATGCACCGAAAGGGCGACAAAGTTTGTGTATATAGTAAAACAGCTCACTCTCGTGGTATATGGCCGATAGCCAACTCGGCGCTACGCGCCTGGTCGGCTATCAGCTCATATACGACTCGAGTTCGCAGAATAACTGTTAAATAGTCGACGTTATTAAATTGCATGTCACAAATCGCACGGATGATTAAACTTAAAATAAGATATATACGGGTGATTATCGTATATGCTGTGTGTTCTCTCCTGCGACAGATATTGGCGTGCAATAACAACCCTTTCTGGGCGTTTCGCATTAAATCAAAACTTTTGTTTATGACAATGATCTTATTTTCATTTCTTTCAGCCATTTTGGAAGAAGAGTGGTGAAAGCAACCGTATCGCTGGTAAAATCAAGATGGGGAAAGAAACGCTTTGTAAACTAGAAGGGAAATGGGTAATGTTGTTATTCTTGTAAATCATATTGTAAAACGTAGCATAAGTGAACTGTCAAGGCTCGTTCACATTTGCTGCGATTTTATGTGCGATTTTCTTCTTTTGAAAGATGTGAACGAGTAATTAGTTACGAATGCTCTGATGTATAAGAACTCTTGTTTGAACTTCGGCAACTAATTCACTCATTCACATCTATCAAAAGAAGAAAAGCGCGCATGAAATCGCAGCAAAAATTGCAAGTGTAAACGGGCCTTCACATGTAATTCCAACCCATCCCTTTTAACCCACTACTAGTAGGAAAATCTTTGCTAATGTTGTACTAAAATGTTGTAGCTACAATGTCATTGTCTATTCGTTGAAATATGATCATCAGATAATCTACATTTCACAACTGTGACGTGTTATAAATCCCAGCAATAAAGTATACTTCAAATTTGTTAGGGCAAATCGCTCTATCAGTGATTCAAATATCTAGATTTACCTTTTCTTATCCATAAGACCGCTAATCGCGGTACTCTATAGAGATTTCTATGGTTAACTGGGCAAGATTAGTTTATCGCAGCTAGGCAAGAGTTTATTTTTGTAAAGTCTGTTTAGACCACTTTTATCCAATGGACTCTGTTCGGAAATGGGATCAAACGTTTGTAAAAGCGTTTTTTTCTTCTACCTTTAGGATGGCGAAGTGCTTATTACCGATTTAAGATCTGGAAATCGTGAGGTATGTAAATACAGCATGTAAACGCTACCATTTTGTTTTGTTTTTGATGAACAAACTAAACATCAAATAACACGTTAACCCTGGAATGGATTGAGATTAGGAGATGTGCTTGGCGAGGTTATCTCAACACTTGGAATACAAGGTTTTTTGTGTAGGACAAAATCAGGAAAGGTGTTGGGCGATTTGGCTCCCATCCTGCGCCAATGGCCTTGCAAACCCAGCCCAGTATGTATTGTATATACAAGATCGCTCCTGTGTCACCAAGTTAAAGATGTAATGTTATCTTTTTTAGACTGAAGAAGATTTGTTACCAGACCTCTTTTGGGAGCCAACACCAGACGTGCGCAATACAAGGTTAAAACGACATGTTCCGGATTTAGACAGTCAGGAACAATTTGAATCTCAAAAGTAAGCGGGAAAAGTTTTATAGTAAAAAAGAGCATTATTACTGAATTATTACTGAATTATATTGGCACCAAAATATTGTGTCAGTGCTATTCGGAAGCAGGAAATATGCTATTAACACCATTTATTGATAACATTAGTATTTAAAACGACAAACACCATTATAAAACGACATGCAGTACCTTCTGCTGTGCCACAGTATAGAGTTGCCAAGCTGCGGCAATAGGCAACCTATGGTTTCTTTAATAGCGTAACTGGGTTCGCTTTACGTGCAGTGGTGTAGTCATAGCCATAGCTAAATCATTTATTTTGAGGATGGGTGTATATTCAGAGATTCATGTTTACATACCTAAAAAATGTAAACAAATTTGCTGATTCTTTCAAAGCGAAATTCCCTCATTGTTCAACTGCTAAATGTTTAATTTAGTTTATGGCGTTATGTCAGTGATGCAATACGTGCGAGTGATCAGGTAAGCATTTCAATTAATCTTGGGTTTGTTTCATTCCCCGTAGGCCCGTTTCAGACGTCAAATTTTTCATGTGCTAATGAACAAACTGGCGAATACAAATGATCTTAAAACACTTCACCTTATTTAACATTAGGTTTGGCACATGAAATGTTTGACGTCTGAAATATATTTTACATTTTGCCAATTACATTAAATGGGTAATAAGCTATATAGAATGAAGCTTCTTCTTGCGTCTTCTGCTTCTTGTGTCTTCTTCTTCTTGTGTTTTCTTCTTGTGTCTTCTTCTTGTGTCTTCTTCTTGTGTTTTTTTCTTCTTGTGTTTTCTTCTTCTTGTGTCTTCTTCTTCTTGTGTCTTCTTCTTCTTGTGTTTTCTTCTTGTGTTTTTTTCTTCTTGTGTCTTCTTCTTGTGTTTTTTTCTTCTTGTGTTTTCTTCTTCTTGTGTCTTCTTCTTGTGTTTTTTTCTTCTTGTGTCTTCTTCTTCTTGTGTCTTCTTCTTCTTGTGTCTTCTTCTTCTTGTGTCTTCTTCTTCTTGTGTTTTCTTCTTGTGTCTTCTTCTTCTTGTGTCTTCTTCTTCTTGTGTTTTTTTCTTCTTGTGTTTTCTTCTTCTTGTGTCTTCTTCTTCTTGTGTCTTCTTCTTGTATCTTCTCTTTGTGTCTGGTTTTCCATTTAGTTGCTATTGTCGTGAACATGTCAAGGTGACTGATGTGATACAATATTTCTATGCGTATGCAGCCGACAATGGCCGATTTCAATGCGAAAAATAAAGACAAATTTATATCCTGACAATTTCTCATCGGTAAAAATGACTTGTTCACGACCTGTCGGACAAAATAAAAACCAATTACGTTCGTTTTTCGCTCCAGGTGAAGGCAACCGAGGAAAAATTCAAACTGGAGGAAGATCAGCGACGCGTTCACCGCGAGCTGAAGGAAAAATGTGAGAAATGGATAACAAAGCTGTTTGATAGAGATCCTGCTCATCCAGAGGCTATCAATAAATATATTTATAAATACAAGAAGTAAGTGATGATGAAGTGTTGTGTTCTTGGTCAATCATTTAAAGCACAGTTCGTTTTTTTGAATGACACCACTGTCCAAACTTCGAGCATCCGAATTTTATAATGTAAAATGAACAAACCTGAAAGAAGATTTATTATCTTTCATCGATTTTCGTAGTGAGTGCCTTCTTGAACGTATAAATCCTTCAACACAGTTCTTTAAATGATAGTTTTAAGGAACATTTCAACTTCGATTAAATGTGAATTGAAAATTAACTAGGAACACTAACCAGAAACTCACCACGCTCTCTTTATACTTAGAGCAGAGTATTCGAAGTAGTATGCTGAATCTATACTAATCAGCAATCCTAATCGCCACTCTCGCATTCTTCAAACAATATATTACGGCATATTCTGAGTTTTGAAGTGAAACCCGATCATCTTAAATCTCGTTCTAGTGTTCGCCCATGGGATCCCATAACGGATTTGCACGAATACGAACATGAATTCAAGATAAGCACTCGAACTCGTATCAAGGCTCCAATGGTGAAACAACAGAGCTTGGTGGCAATGGAGGTTCATCCACCTTCCCAAGATGATGATGATAAACTTTCTCCGCAATACTTGAAACCGACCGGAACTCGTAGGAAATACGGTCGTCAGTCGCCGGATCGTATGAGTAGCATGGACGAGGATGATGTGTCGTCTTTCGCACAGTGTTTGAAACCATTACGCGAGTCTCAAGCTGAACTCAAGGAGCAGATTAGGTCCATACGCAGCGATATGCGACGTTACCAGATTGCAAATCGTGAGCAAATGGCAAGCTTCCACACCAAAGACTGGATATTTCTTCTCTTTTTTGTGATCGCCTTGCTGTGGCAGTGGTATCAGAGCACTCTAGTAGCATCAACGCGAAATACTATTGAATAACAAATCATATCACAAAGGTATAATATATGCACAATGTTCCTTTAAAGTGGAAGTCCAGCCCGTTTTGCGCGTCGGTTCTGCGAGAGCCCTCTGGTGTAAAAATTGCCCAGATTTCCCGTGCTTCAATTTTTTTAACATTTTCTAGTTCATATTTATCATTTAGAAGCGTAGATAGTTTGGATATTCAGATTATTTCAGAAAGCAAATCGTATTTTAAAAGAGGTTGAAACTTAAAATGTAAAAAAAGCCGTTTGTTTACATGCGGACTTCACTTCCACTTTAATGAATCGGATGCGATAATACGTGGCCGGACTTCGTGGACGAGATGTTTCCACCGGCGCTGCCTTGTATCACAGAAATGATTTCTCTTTTGACAATGTTTAATGGAAAGTATGTTACACGACGTTTTAATGAATAGAATATGTCGGGTAGAAAAAGAGCCTGTCGGTCACTTGACACTTATTGTACTATCTAAGATCTTCGTGCATTGATATTCTACACGGGTTGGTTATATGAAAGCTGGACAGCTCTATCAGATTGATCGGGATTTTTTAATCGCTCTAAAATTGGCCGCTGTTTGATATAACCTGAATAAAACTTCAGACTTAGGATTCTTAAATTGGAGAATCTCTTTGATAATTACAAGCTTCTAATCTTTAGTTTTACTTTTTTTCAAGCAATTTTAAAATGGCTGTTTTGAAACGGGATAGCGCTATCCAGCTTTCGATGCAACCAGCCCCCGGTGTCTCAAAAAAACTAAAACTGGTATTTTGAGGTACTCTGTATTACGATAAGCATTGTTAGACATGCAAATCATACAACTTTGTGTCTTTTAAGAGGAACTGATCCAAAATTTATGTAAAAAATATATATATATGTATGTATATACATAGTTATGCAATATATATACATTAGAAGAAGAATATATAAACTGTATTTATCAAATAGCGAAGAAATATTAACGTTAAATCGTTAGGACAACACGAATTGTTCTGGCACATTGTTTTTCGACTTGTTTCTAATGGACCTATATATGGCTTACTTTTTGTAAACTTCTCGCCAAAAATAAGGGGGAATTTCGTTTTAAAAGACTAAGCAGCAAGTTTGTTTACATTTTTATAGTAACCAAAAATTGCAATATATACCATTTTAAACAAATTTGGCGATTAGTTTAAAACGAAATCCCTCTTCGTGTCAAATATTATTTAGCCTTTGTGCTTAATATTGCATGGCCTTGAAAACGTTTTTGTTATTAATTTAGTAACCCCAAAAGAAGATTTCTTAAGGCCTATTTACACTAAACTTTTTTTCGTATACGATTTATACCAAAAGATATGAAAAAAAGAACAGAAATGCCGAGCAGGAAAGAAATTTGGTATTTTTTTCGTCCTTGCTTGCAACGTTTGATGAACCGCATATAGATAATTTGCTCATAAATTATTGCCTCATAATATGATCATTTGCTTATTTATAATTGCGTAATATACTAAAAGGCTTCTCGACGTTTCGACCTATTGGGTCTTCGTCAGCTAGATGATACTCTCTGACGAAGGCCTCAGGTGGAAACGAAGTGCTTTTGTCTATTTTATGCAAATGTTATACCACATTGGAAGCGAAACTATTCTAATGGATGGCCCACACCCAAAAATGGTTAACTGAATTCAATATGAAGCGCGTCTCAGTCTCTGTAGATGCAATAAAGCAGGATGTCTAAAATCATAACGACTTAATCATAAAAACTATTATTGTACATCAGGGAATGCCTTTTTTTTCAAATATCTCAACTCAAGGGCCGTGGAAAAAGTGGTGGGCACTGACAAAAAAGGGCACTTTCTCCTATAGAACTGTATATCACATTTAACCCCGTACCTCTTTAAAGACATTGAAATTCACTGGATAACTTTACATAATTATTAATTACAACTGCAATGGAACATTTTGCTGCATACAAATTTTTACTAAGTCTAAGATCATGTTCTCCTGTAGTCCTGTTTCTTTTTTTTATTAACAATAACGCGCATTTAATGACTCAAAGAAGGGTACGTTCGCATAAAAAGGGGGGCACATTTTGGTATTTCAAATACAATTTCGGTTCCGCGGCCGCTGACTCGGCTGAAATATACCTTTTGTTGAAGATGCATTTTGTATGAGTATGAGGAATTGTTATAAAAAAGTAACATAACTGGTCCCTCAAGGATGAAATATTTACGATTTCGCCATCTTACTTATCTCTGCAAAGACAAAATGTCACACCGGAAATCTGATATATACACATAACAATGTCAATGTACACAACATTATTAAATTAGACCCAAAGTACATATCTTAACACGTAAGCAAACTGAATGAATATCGAATGATCGGTGGGGATTTCCTGATTTGTAACAGTTCAGGCTTTAAATGTATTCTTGTTTCCTCATAGCAGAGTAGTTTTCCTTAAACGCATAAACTTCCGTTATAATTTAGCTGATTATAGGGTTTTACTTTCATCTTTTGTTGGTATTTTTGCAAGCACAAGTAAGAAGTCAAAGCACTGTGACACAGCACAGCTAAAGCATTTCGTTCAGCCTTTGTATTTGTAATATGAGCAGGAACAATATTAGGTACGGTTACCCATTTTCGCCGCGCCGTGCCAAAATGAATGTAGTGCATGTAAACGGGGATAGAAAGCGCTGAATCGTCTCTCTTATTCAGAACATTACTTCCTCCTTTCAATGGATTTAAGACTTGGAGACGGAAATTGACATTATTCTTTTATTTATAGACCATGCTTTATTGAACCAAATATAAAGATAGCGAAATTAATTAGTAAAGTTGGAAGAAACATCCCAAAATTAATAAATAATTGGGATAAAGAATTATACTAATATGCTAATTCATACAAAATTTGTCAACTTCTGCCACTTGTCAATATTTCGCAACCAAACTTTTTTGATTTTGACTAATTTTGGGATACTATTTCCGGAACTCTGCTGCGTGAATCATAGTCCAGCATTTAATTTAATAGGAAGTTATCTTTGGACTACGCATTTAGCAGCAGTAAAAATATTTTGTTGTTTTGTAACTGATAAAGTACTGGGCTATTATTGATAACAGTTACACTGAGGCCCGGTTTAAGCCCCGTTTACACTACACTCGATTTGTGCCCATTTCATCTATGCCCAGCCTTTGTTTTGGTAGCCTGAACACTAAAAAATTGGGCACGGGCCATTTAGCCGTTCCGCGCCAACAAATTGATTGTAGTGCATGTAAACGGGCTTGAAGCTACGTTCACACAGGACCGGACGAATTTAGAACCGTGCGGTTTCCTCGTGTGAACACGTTGAACGGGTCAAATTTCCATTCCATTTCCAATTGTGCCGTTTGAACACCTGAACCGGACGAATCCGAGAACGTTTCCAAGTTCGTCCTGTCCCGTGTGAACGTATAAAGCCTAAATCTTCGCAAGGTTTCCTGCATAGACCACTTTTTCGAGACATATTTTTCGACATTTTTAAGGCCTGCATGCTTACAATGAGGAAATTAATCAATGACTGTCGACTAAGGATGACTGCTGGTACACGATTCTTGCTCGTTGTAGCTCGATTGAAAACTGACGTTAAAGTTACTTAATTGTATGCTTGCAAGTAATTTGATCACATGAAAATAGGCCTTTAGCCAGAATAATAGTATAATGCTGATGTAATCACAATTGTTTGAAACTTGGCAATAATTCAGAATTCAAAATTTCTCCAACTATCATTCACTCGAAGAGCAACATCCAAAACAGAAGCATTTAGTTGGACATTCTATGCCATCCTATAAGTCTATTAGATTGCCCATGAGTCGAATAACTTAAACCAGATAATGTACACAATACTTAAACATCTCAATTGTTAGAGTTTGGATAGTCGAAGACGAAACTTTAATCAATTGCTTGCGTTGTCTGTTAAGAGCAGTGGCGTCACCAGACCTAGCAAGGCTTGGCCTGGGAGAACAATATGACGACGCCGAGACTACGATTAATAAAAAATCTGCCCAACCTGAAGTGTAATGGTGGAAAAAATGCCCTGAGTGCAGTAAGCGACGTAATTAAAAATACCATTGACAGAAAAAATGCTCTTTTGGAATATGTAACCTTTGAACATGCAAGCGTCAACCCATATTCGGTAAATACCGTAATCACAACATTCTATATTCTCAGCGATTTTAGTCAAACTTGAAAATTAATTGGTTTTGGTTGTTGCACTTCTTCCCCCCCTCCCCCGCGCTCCGTTTCCAGAAAACATCACCGCTCCAGAGAGCAAGTATCGAGCTTCATTTGATATCTTATTCACCAGAAACGCGCGGGAAACGATATTTCAAAGAAGACCAACCAACCACCCTATGCTGGATATTTAGTCTTGAACTCGTGCACGAAGTGCGGCTGGTAAAGTGAACAGTGCACGCGGTGTCGGGTGTCCCCCAGAATAATTTCCAGAAACGCTTTTCAATTCAATGAGAAAGAAGGAAGTTGGCAATTTTAAAGTTTTACCAAATTTAGATCGTAAAAACTTTTTTTTATTTCCGAACATCTCCAGATTTGCCCATGCATCAACACGGCGTCACTGCGACCATACTATTGTAATTGAATTTTGTAAATTTTGTCTGGACCGCACTGTTCCAGCGAGCTACAAGTTATATGACTATGGCTATGACGTATTACAGACTAAATTTATCATTTTGACTGCTTGAAGAGGAATCGAATTTCATTGATCTCAATGCTAAGCTTGATTAATAATTCTCATGCTAAATACATTTGCTAAGCAGAATTCTGTATTCATCTCACTCGAATTTTCATCAGTGGCATATTTCTGGACGAATCTCTGCCGGTTCAAACAATCGCTTCGCTTAAATTCACAATCTCAGCTCGACTAAAGACGGAAATAGAAGATACCTCTTGCAGTATAATTGAATCCTGCGATACGTCACCAGGAAGGACACTGCATGGGTGCACTGGTTTATTCATGCAAGAACTCTTAAACTTTGTGACTTGCCAGATTCTTAAATTAGATGAGCTTTTTGATAAAGCCGCTCCGTGATTGTGTAATTGCTTTCGAAACTAGACCGCAGCGAGGTATTTAAGAGCTGTGCGCTAAAGGTTATAGCCATCAGTTTTTGTCTCGCCACTGGGCTAGAAAAGTGAAGGGCTCAAGTTGAGGATTTATACTTACTCTTGACGCGGTGTTTCGACGATATGAAGTTGTTTTTACGTGCAGCCGTGCTGACCGCTGTTTTGGCTGTGGTCCTTTCTGATGGCATGTAAGTTGAAAAATATTAACTTTTTTAAAACAGCGCGTAAGTTAGTTCACAACTTTAATTGCTATGCAGTTACCGTTGCATGCATGCGGTACATGAATTACGAGGTATTTTCTTAACCTTATTTGAAGCTTGCTAAGGCTAAACGATGGATAATAAATAAGATCAATAGGCCTATTTGTGTGGAAATATTATATTTAAATATAATATGCATTTAAAAGTAAATTAGTTTTACAAGTTGTGTCGGATGGAAGATAGCGCTATTGACCAGGGGCCGGTTGTATAAAACCCTTTAACTACATTTTGAAATTCAGAAATACACGTTTCTGATTGGCCAATTCTGTCCTAAACAGTTAAAAGTTAACTAGTCTCTTATACAACTGGCCCCCGATCATGATTTCTTCAATACTCGTAAAAATGTTTGAAAGGCAATGAAGCCGTATGGAACCAACAGTTAATAAACAGAAGCTCTATACTATGAGAATACTGCGGTTTAATATAGTTGCACTGATTACAGGCAACTGTCACACGATTTATTTTCTAAAAAACAAATGCAAAATCACCTGCCGAGTGCTTTGAATGATATGTCCCTTAAAAGACTTTGGATTCATCCGCGCAAGGGATGTTGGGTTGCCATTATTATAGGTGATTCAAGGTAAAAAGACCTTCGCCGCAGGCATGCAGGTGTTTTGTTTTTTGGCTCCTGAATGAATTAATCATTGAATAACCCAGTAAGCTTCTCTCCACCCCCCATGGTGTTCAGAATTTTTAATAACAATAAAGTTAATCGAATTAGCTGGGTATATGAGCTAGTCAGCTTTTAGCGTAAGCGAAACGGAAACATCCGTCAGTAGCCTGCTCCACGCTGTAATCTAATGGCTTATACTAAATGGCAAAGCAATCCTTTGAATTAACAGGCCTCTTAGCCCCCTTGCTTCTGATAGCAGAAAGTAGGAAAGAAGGCTGCCTTCCCCCTCCCCCCCCCATTACCGACGACAGCAAATACAAGAACAGTTAAAGCTGATCGTATTCCCCGCAATTTTTAACCATCCGTTTTTATTTTACTTCGCAGAAATTTGGGGAAAGATTGTCACTGTCGCACAGCTAATGCTAAATATATAAATGGATTATGCTTACGACCTTTGCGATGCACAAACTTCCGTAAGTCAACAGATACAAAATTAAAACTGATTCAGGGGTCAGTTGTATAAAAAGCTAGTTCACTTTCAACTATTGTTATGATTATATAGTAACAAAATTTAACAAAAACCGGTCAGCATCATGTATTTTGGAGTACACTATTTATCGGCCCATGTAAGGTAATCCATGAGATTTTTGGATTCCGGATATACCACTGCTCAGGAAACCGGATTCAATTCCTAGGCCTTAGACTCGGTTGGATTCCGAATTCCACATGCATTACTGCTGGACACCGGATTCCAATTTATATTTTTTCAAGTTGAAGGCGAATAACCGCTGCCGTTGCATACCGTTTGCCTATATTTGGCACATATTTTGTGAGTATCACCACCATCAGTGATCACTCTGTCACTGAACATAAAGACATTTTTCTCTCAAAGCGCTGGTGCCAGGGCAAAGCAGTTCATATTTCACTTTATAACTTATTAAACAATGGCTTCTAGAGTAACCAGGAGTTGGGATTTTGGACTGGAATCACTGTCTGGATTACGGATTCAAAAGCCAAAAGATGTCGGATTCCGGATTACCTTATTTGGGCCGACATTTAGGACTTTTACACAACCTGGCTAAGATGGTTAACTAAAGGCCTACTTATTCGCTATACGATTAGTTGTATGCATTTATCATTCTGACAAATGGAAACGAGTGCTGACTGCACAAACTTGCTCATACGTAAGATTCCGAATTTAAAAGGTGACGTTTGTACACGTGTTTACACGCTCATATACGCCAGGCTAAGAATCGCATACAACAAATCACATAGTGTAAATGGTCCTTAACGGATGCTCAACATGTTTTAATTTTCGAGAGTATATAAGCAATGTACGATACACGACCACTCAAGTCTTCCATTTCTGCGCATGATTGATGACAAGGATAGCAAAATGTTTGCATACCTATACGTTTGTCTGTCTGCGGTTATTGTGGTGAGAAAATCAGGACAATTTTAGGACTCTGGGTACAAGGTCTTGATTTTTAACGAGATTTCCATCGATATAATAATCTTATTGCTCCACATTTTCTCGCAGAGAAACTTCCACTGATGGGTGATACTAAAATTGGTTCCGGGTTTGTGGTTTACAATCGTCAAGTGTACCGCACGTATCCAGCGGTAGGCAGGAAAACTAAGCGTTGTCTTGTTGTTGGTGCTCTGTACAATAAAACGTTTGCAGTTTGTGTGAGACCACTGAAATGCTTCGAAAAAAGTAAGTCGAATATTTTCAGGGAACCAACAATGCATGAGTGCCTGTTTTAAAGAATTTCGAGAGAAAGGGGGGTGGGTAATTCAGGGGTGGATCCAGCACTAGTGCACTAATTTGCATGACACAAGAAAACTGCTCAAAATAGCCATTTTGTTTTGTAATGCAAATTAGTGCACTAGTGCTGGATCCACCCCTGGGGTAATTGGAAAGTTTTGAAATCAGTTGCTTGATTTTAAAATAGTATGTTTTTGCGATAGATCAAATAAGTGGAATTACATTCAGCAAAGGTTGGTTTACAGAATACAAAATGCTAATTCATTTTCGCATGCAGTAAACTTTTTCGTAAAGCTATCTTTGTTATTCATCAATATGTTAACTCATATTAATTTTGAGAAGCGTAGATTTTAGTTAGGGGGGCGTTACTTAAGTCCGGTTTACACTACAGTCTTTTTTTTTGGCACAGCACGGCTAAAATGGGTACACGTGCCCAATTTTATTAGTGTTCAAGCTATCAATATACAAAGGCCGGGCACGAATAAAAAGGGCACGGGTACCCATTTTAGATGTGCCGTGCCGATAAATCAAGTATAGTGTAATCTTTATTACGGGGCTGTAATCTTTATTTTCCCTGTCGTGAATGGTGCCCGACGCCCCTTGGCCTTAATCACGCCCATGAGACAGTGTTCTGATAACGCCCCTACCTACCGGTTGAGCTCTCATGTAAGAACAGCCTGAAAACTATCTTTTCACCAATCGCAATGACCCATTCCAGCTTGCAAGTTAACTGGGAGAGATCCAACTGATTAAAATGCCATTGTGTTAATTATCATGCGTATTGTCGCAGCAATCTTACGACTTACGAGTTGTTTTTTTGCGATCGATGAGCAGAAAACAGACCGGAAACCCAATCTGGAGAAGCCATTTGTTTTCTCTATTCATATTTTATTTTTCTACACTTTTTAGTGTTTGGAGTGTCAGATCGCTCTTTATCGCCGAAATATTATGTTCAAGGTTATAGTCTGTATCAGTCGTATCCTGCATATTGTCAGTAACGTCTACTTGTAAACATACTGAGGATATATTCACTAGCAGCGTATATTAATACCTTGTTAGATAAGGCTTAGATTGTTGTATCCATACCACAATAAAATATTTCTGCATAATTGTGTTTTGAATTTGACGTGGCTCCTGGTCATTTTCGATATTACCAGAAGTAAAGGCGGTCGTTGTTATGCTATACATCTTTCTATACAACTTGCAATGCAATTCTACTCCTGGGGCATCTAAAGGTGTGAAATGCGAACGTTTCTTACTATCCGCCAACGTTTTCTAAGCATTTCGATCACTCTTTAAAACACCCTCAAAATCATAATTGCATTGCAAAGCGCAAGCGAGTTGCATATAGTGTAATAACGCCTTTAAAGGCCCTGTTACACGCTGCAATTTTTCCTGCAACTTGCAATGCAATTCTTCCTTTCAGATATTAAAATTTGGCAGCTACCAAACTTTTGTCATTATTACATTCCAAAGCGCTTCTTACACTTGCATTTTGAAGACTCTTCACTAATTTACATCTCTTAAAAGTGGAAGTGCATTGCAAGTTGCAAGAAACATTGCACCGTGTAACATAGCCTTAAGGCCATGTTACAATTTTTCCAACAACAACGAAACCTTTGCGTTCATTACACTTCATGCACTTTTCTTCGGCAAGACTTTTGACTAATTTACATCTCTCAGATGTAGAATTGAATACAAGTCGCAAGGAAGTTGCATAGTGTAGTTTTGCAGGTGGCGTTGCGCCTCCTTCATGGGACATGTCGCAGCTCTCGGAAGCTTTCGTCCAATTGGCAATGCTTTTCTATGCTTTCTAAGGAACGAAGCTATGCCATTGGTTGAAACAGAAAAGTATTGTAAAGTTCAGCCAATGAAAATCATTCTTGCGACGACACTACCCAGCCCTTTTGGCATCGCTGGTGCGTTGTGCCAACGATGTTATGTTTTGTAACTTCTGTATTTCTGAATACAACCGAAAACCATTGCCAGGAATTTGATTCAGTCGGCGGTTGCTGTACAGGTGCCCCCATAAAAAAGTGACACTTCAGGAATTATCTCATTGTTCCAAAAGCGCTCTTTAACGCGCGTGATGATTACACGCGGAATGTTATCAAATTTTAAAAACTCTTTTCTTTCTCAGTTGAACGATGACTTACTTGTAAATCGAATATTATGGTAATAGGAGTAAACTGAATTCGAGAAGCTGATATAGCTATGCACCCCTGGGGTTTAGCATAACGCACTCGGGACGATTGTATAAAGCTGTTTAAAAGTTCACTACAACATTCAACTGGCTCCGGACATTCAAACAGTATGATCATTTCTACAGGGTGTCTCAAAAAGACAGAAAGTTATTGTAATCAATCATTGTTAAAATTCGAATGCTGTGTTCACGAATTTTAGCCCGCGGGGATTTAATGCAACCAATAAATTAATTACATTGTTATGGGTGATTTCAATAGTTTTCTTTTTTTTTGAGACACCCTGTATAGTGTCATCTTTTTGAGAAACCCTAGGTATATTCGTGTGCGGGCACATGCGAGTATGACGAAACCCAGTGAATTCAACATAATTGCTATATTTGAGTTAAGAAAAAAAAATTGTCGGGATATTACTTATATCAAATCACATTGCATAACAAGAAATGAAGTGTTTAATGTCATTCCTGTTAAGCGTAGCCGTCTAACGAGCCAGACGATCCAATTTTGACAATGAAATCAAATTTGAAGTTATCGTAATTATTAATTAGTCGTTTTTTTAAGACATTAATTGATTGTTTTCGCAGTGAATGAACACCGAAATATTAGCATAAGCAGGAATAGGTCTTTCGACAGGCTGCGAATGAAGTCTTTTTCTTTAATGGCGTTTGGAACCATTTCAAATTACAGAACAGTCGAGTATTTTCGGATAAAAATCAGGTTGAACATGTGTTCCGACCAATATGACTTGTGGAAAAGTAAACTTGTCATGCAGCTCGCAAAATGTCACTAAATAGCTATAGCAGAAATTTCTGTTTGTCGTCGTACGGTTTCAAAAACATTTGGAATTGGTTTGCCCACTCAAAATCGTTTGAACGCTGTTCTACAAATGAGACGGATGGACAGGTAAGTCGTGTTTTTCTTACATATTTCTTCCGTTTTGACTGTTTGAACAAGACGAATTAGATAATGCGCCTTTTATGCTTCGCGCCATGATGAATTTAGTGTCTGTTCATATTGTAAACACGAATTTCTCGCCTTAACTCAGCCTCCTTGTAAAGTTTTTTGTTTTGTTTCACTATGACTTTATGAAAACAATTGCAACAATGGGAACATCTAGCGCAGCAATTTTAGGCATTTCGGGTGGCCTAAATTTTTAAGTTTGAAATACAACTGCTATAGCCTCTTTTTACAGTATGTATTTGTCCTTTAAATTCATTATTCACTTTGGATAACATTAATTTTTAACCTCTAGCTTCCATATTACTATGCAGTCAGTTACAAACACCAGAAACCCCCAATGGTATAAAAGAACGATTTTTTGAAAAGAACCGTTAACAAATAAGATTTAAAGCTAGAAAGATGGAATTGGTTTTATTTAGTTGTAAATATTCTTACCTGGAGGCTGCGCCTCGATCAAAAAAAATTTTTGCAGTATTATAAGTTTTGGAGGCTATAATTGTCAGCCTTCTGAGAGCTATCTAAGGTAAACTGGGGATATTTTAGTTGACCGGACGGAATACAACTGTTTTAGGTTCACCTCTATAAAGTCAACCATGAAACTTTTTTCAAGTTAGCTTTATTACTTTACGAGTCATAACAAGGGGAATGAGAATCTCAGTTTGCTAATTAATAAAACTTTTTGTATAATTCTCGCGTTCTTTATATATTTTTAGAAAAAAAATATTCACGATAGATCAGGGAGACATTCAGTATGATTGCGATCCCTGGAAATTTTTAAAACAACATAAATAGTAATCGCCGGTGTATTGGACCATCTTAAATCAGCTATTTTCAGCAAGTATCTACCTAATATGAACGAGTTTTATGATTGGCTTTTTATAACAATAGTGAACGGTGTTTATGATTCGTTCTTTTAGAAATCAATTTCTATATTTCATTGTGTTTTATTGTTATCATCAACCAATTACCAATAGCAAAGCTTATTCATATAGGTACGTAGCGATCCGCTATTTTTGAGATTATTTTATAATCCTCAACTGAAGCTGGATGCGCTACCTCAAACCTACCCTGCAAAATATCAGATGACCATCCAGGTCCAACATGCATATAGACCACAAGAGCCCTATTTGTCAAGTACACTGGGCCTAAAAAGCTTAACGCCACAATGTAAAATAACACCACCGGTATTTTTTACATCGCTCTTTTTCGGTAACAATTACATATTGTTCTCTCGAAGTTTGTATCATCAACATGTGATTACATGTCATTACATCTTGAAAACGTGGGATTGACACAATATTCAACAATATTCTCTATCGTAATGTCAAAATTATTTATTTCCCCATGAATATAACAAGGTTATATACGAACCAGATCTGGAATTAGCGCGATGATCGCACAAAACAATCTGTCGGGCAGAACGAATATATGAATATACCTTCATTCTCTCAATGATCGCAACTAGTTTCGACCCTCAATACTACAAAGTACAATCCTGCTTGTTTTTATCAAAGAACACACAAATATATATTGAAATGTTTGACAGCATGCATATATATGTAGATATCACAATGGCTGGTAATTAAGCTATATTAGTAACAGTTCAGTAAATATTTAGCGTAAAAGGAATCCAGCGACTCAATGAATTAGTCTTCATTCCTAAAATTTAAAAAGATTCTCATTAATATTTCCACCTCGTGACAAATATACCTAGAAGTTGTTGACGTGAAGAAAATGTATTATATATTTCAGACCTAGGACGCCTTTCTTCTAAACGGGAAAAACGGCCAGATCTCTCTTATCGGTTCAGCACATTGGTGTTTTAGAGTGTTTGAGGGACTCTGCTTTCACGTAAATCGTTATTCACATCTGCTTAGCATTCAAGATGTAGTTTCACCGCGCCATCTTGAACGACCTTTTCAATTCAAACTATGATCCGACAACTTTGACCGGTTGAAGGAAAGTGCTCTAGTTTATAAGTTACATTTTGACCGCGTCAAATCTCGCCGTTTTTAACCAGTCCTATTTTCACTATCGTGTATATCGGAGTGATTTTTGGAACAATTCGGATAAACATGCATCTATACTATTTTCTCACCTAACTCTATGGTTTTACGAACTCTCATTGTTGTTACACCAAGTTTTAAATAATAAACCATTCGATATATGCGATATGTATGTTCCCTACACGGCTAAAAAATCGGAGCCTGCGGTTCATCAGCATGCAAGAATGTCGCTCAGTGAACTCAAATAAGACTGGAACGGTCACTCTGTCGGAAGTTTGAAGCCAAGATGGCGGACACTGAGGCCTTTCTTGTAGGTATGATTCAGGCCACCACGCGGAAATTTCGTAGGTAAAATGGCGGCAACTTTTATTTTTCCTTTAAGACTTCCACGCCAAAGGCCTAGATCATACCCACAAGAAAGGCTTCATGTTCCGCCTTCTTGGCTTCACTCATTAATGAGGGAAAGTCAGAGAGTGAGCGTTCCCTGTTTATTTGAGTTCACTGGCTGTGCTGCCAATATTGTTCACGCTTGTCAACAACAGTGAACAATATTGTTGAAACTGAATCGGGTGTAACAATATTGTTCAATATTGATAACAATCAACTCTGAACAATGTGGGCAGCAAAACATTGCTCCATCCTGTTCATATCAATATTGCGTCAACGTGATCGTTTTTAGCCGTGTAAAATCCCAAAGTGGCAAGGTATTGGCTATACTATTTAATCGTCTAACTACGGCTGCATGTTGTAATTTTGCATGCATGATGATATTAGAATAGAAGTAAATTAGCTTGTACTGAAGGTACATCGTACACCACGTAGGTATTTAATAATGCGAAGTTTTCGGTCCGTTGACCCGGGCCTTCAACAATTAGCTTGTAGGTGGCACTGATGAAGGTCTTGGTTAACGAACCGAAAGCTTTGCACATGACGGCACGGATGCTGCTATAGATAGTCATTCTTCATTCTAAATCGTGCAAATTGTAGCTGCTATAATAGTCATAAACGAAGCCAAAATTAGTGAACGTCTAGAGCCAAATGAAAAGTAACAGGTCGGAGGAGCCCCTTTCAGGGCCGGTTGGATGATATCAGTGGATAGCGCTATCAACCGGATAGTGATTTTTTCAATCACTTTAAAATCGCATGTTGTTTGCTATAACTTTGATTAAATTCTTAGTATTCCTAAATTGAGGAATCTCCTTTAATAATTTTTGGTTCCAAAGCAGAGATTGTCTTGCTTTTCAATTTCAAGAATTTTTAGAACGGTTGAAAAATCACTATCCGCTGGATAGCCTATAGCGCTATCCAGTTTTCGTACATCCGGCCACAGTTCGGAAAGTCGTCAGATCCGTGTGAGTGTCAGTCAGGGGGGTGTTCTCTATATGTAATGAAGGTTCCTAGGAGAATAATCGAAGGGTATCGATGCAAATATTGGTCATAATATTATGCGATACTCACCTCACATACAAATTAATAAAATTTATCCGTAATGCGGACATTCCGATAGAGTGTTCATGGTCTTGTAAATTTTTCCCTCCAATAAAACCACTTTACTGTTACCGACACGGCATATGGAGCTTCCGCCATGCTTGTTAAGAATTTTGTCTAAAAACGAAGAATTAGGAGGATTTCATTGTCGTTGAAAACCGTAATAATTTGTCGAGTAAGTAAGTCTATTTTGCATGAACAAGCAAACATCGTAAGGCGTTTAGCTTAAATCGCGGATAAGTTCAGAATGGAAAACCAAATTATCTATTTATTGGAGAAATGAGCGGAAATATTTCGATTTAAACACCTTAATTTTCAATGCAAGTACATATATTATGCAGGTTCAGTCATTCACAAGATGTATGAGAGTATTTTAAACTTTTGGCTCATCCACCGTTGGGTTACGCTGAGCGCCTTTTGACCAAGAAATCTTAAAGGACTTACCGATTGTTTTTCGGCATGAAGCAGATTTAATTTCATCTAAATATTTCATGCATTCCCCTTTTCGTGAACCACCTGCTTTATCGTATGTTACAAAGTTATAACCTGTACGTCTACAGCAATTGCCAGACCTTAAAAACAAAAGTAAAAAAAAATAACAAACAAAAATCGAAACATTTGTAACAAAGAAACAATCATTATAATGTTATTGGGAATAGAGGTGTCGGAGGGGTGGGCACATATTCGTTTCTTCCGCAGAATTCATTTCTTGCTAATTCGATCTTCTTTACATAATATTATGAATATGTCCCCACCCCTCCCCTCCCATTATGGATGCTGGTGACGTCGCTGGATTTTATATTTGTGGTGTTGTCAAAGCAAGGAGCGCAAAGGATGAAAAAGAGATTAATAATACGAGTGCGAAAATTTTGTGGAATTTAGACAAGCCGCCGGAGCGAGCCCAATTTGGCAGAATTTATTATTCCCTAATTGTACGAGCAATAAACATCTCATGAATATTTGCTTAATATTTTACCTCAAATTCAAATTGCCCAATCAAAAAACATTATTTGTACCATGTGACGAGGATATTTTTCGCGTATCGCATCCCACTCCCCTGATTTATTGAAATAATTCTCCGAGCGTTTGTACTGAAATACTATGTTTGGCTATTTTATAAGCTGGCAATACTTTTTTGGTATAATACATTATTTATACACCCTCTGCTCTGGGGATTCGGTAAAATTTTGAAAGTACTTTTGTACTTTTGGCTGTATTTTCGTTTTCCTTTCTTGCCTCTAGGGCTGTTTAGTTAAGTTGAATACAAAAAAATGTCCGCCATTTGTTTACATTATAGAACTATATATATATGCATGTAATTGCTAGTGTAATACCCTTTTTTATCTCTCGTGAAAATCACATCATCATTTTCTTGATTGGTTAACCAAGAGTTCTCCTCATTGAAGGATGCTGCGGCAGTAAAACTGATTACTGAGATAGCGATGAGTGTCTTGAGCATCATTTTCGGAAATTTCTTTCTATCTTATAAAAGTAAAAGAAACTTAACTAACTAATTAACTTGCATCCATCGCAGCGGTTGAAGATAAACAGTTTAATTAACAATTATTGGATGAGGTTGAGCGTGATATCGAGAATTATCAAGCTGAAGTTTGCATTATTCGCCGAAGCGAAGCTGAGGAAGATAATGCAAACCGAGGCTTGATAATTCTCGATGTCATGCGAAACCCGAATTCAATAATTGTTTTATTATGTATTTCCTTTTTAGAGAGGAAGCCTGCGCTAGCAGCAAACGTCACCTACGGATAATTTTCAATGTCTTGTAAATGGCAAGACATTGAGCATTATCTGTAGGTTTTTAGCCAATCACAATCGAGATTGCATTAGTAATGCATAATAATTTCTCTTAATTGCTTCGAAATTGTCATCAAAAACATCCAAGTTATTACGACATACTAAAGCTCCATGCAGTACTATGGAGTAATTTCACAGGATGTTTGTAACTGCAACAGCAGTGTTACAACTTTTGGCGCTTTGTTTGTCATTGATTACTTCAAAATTTCCCGCCGTGACTACAGTGGCGGAGCTAGGGGTGTGCAGAATAAATTACTACAGCTTAAAATCGGAATCGCATTGGCAGATTTTTATGTAAAATTATTCTTTTCAAATCTATAACTAATAGCGTTGTTATTAAGGTGTTTTTAATTTAAAATTAAGCTGTGTAATTTATTCTGCAGACCCCTAGATCCTCCACTGCGTGATTAAGCCCAGAATTCATTGCTGGTGTCACGGCTTGTTAGGTCATTATATGCATAAGGTATATTATTGCAATAGCACGGGACCTTTTGCGAAGGAAATGTTTGTGTTCAATTCCTAACTTCATTCCCCAGTGTTATCGATAAGAACACTCGAATTTGAACACTCGAAATAAAGATTGTTCAAATTCAATTGCGTTGCAAGATATATTTTCAGAACTTTGCGAACGACGCACAGGACTTATCAGCATTATACAACGAATGTTCTATAGTATATATTAATCCCGGTGTCAAGCGAAATTCATGACCATTGCAAAATACATGACCACGCGTGACGAGTCACGAATTTCGCGGCTTACTCGCGCGAAAAACATGACGATTACGAAATCTATGATTTCGGCGGCCGAGTGCGACAGTTTGGTGTTGAGTAATTTTGATCAAAATTTTAGTAAGTTTTAGTAATTACTCGAAAATAAGTTTTAAAACAAAAATAAACTAGGACAGATAAAACATCATTGAAGGCTATTTACATCGCTAAAATACTATAAATTATTGAGTTTTATGCGGTCATTTGCGCATGCGCAGAACTGCGACACTCATATATATTTCGCAAGTCATAAATTTCGCGTGACACCGGCAACACGAAGATAACGCCGCAACCTAGCTGGAAGTTACCATGTTAGATTTTACATGATGATAGATAATTAATTACATGCACCGGCTTTAGCATGTGTCCTAACTGTGAGATTAACTAAGGTCAGATAATAAGAAAAAGAGAATTAAGATTCTATTAATATTCTGTCATTCTTTCATTCAATAACTGTCATTTTGCAACGCCTGGCGTGTTGTTTAGCAGTGTTGTAGAAGAGGGGGGCGCTTGGGGGCGGAGCCCCTTTTCTTTGATCTGTGGGTGGGGGAATTAAAACTTCATTCAGAAAACTATTAAAGAAAACCTGGCTACTTTTTAATTAAGTAGAATCAAAATGACATCCTTAAATCGATATCTTTTTATACTCATATGTTCGTCTTAGCTAGGTTCAAATATACAATAAATACTTCCACTGCCAGCCTTTGATCATTAGCGCAGACGCAGCCAGCCAACTAATATTTTATATTAAAGGCCTTAATATGAGTTATGATCTAACTCCGCGCTGTTATGAGTATCTCAGTGACGAATTCTGAACATCCATGACGTCACACAATAACGTCAGCACAAAAGCAAGAGAGATCCCCCCCTCTGGTGAATTTAGCTCTACAGCACTGTTGTTTAGTTGTTATTGCTGAGAAATTATGCGTTGACTGCGTTTTACATCATCTTTAACCTTGTGAAAAGCCTTGTGTGTCAGTAAATTAACTCATTGTGCTATAGTCACTGTATAATAAGTGAATTTTGTCGTAACAAAATAATCGAAATTCGTTATAAATTATTTCTCTCAGCTGCCATATAAACTTGAGGCACTTTGGGTAGTATTATTCACTTTATCGGTTTGTAACATATATACTTGTATTCAATCTATTTTATCAATTGTAAATCCATTTAATTTTATACTGAAGATGGATATCAATAAATTATTATTATAAATATAATATGGCTATTTGCTGTGTACATCGAGATTTTAGTCACCAATAAAAATTGCACACGACGAGCACCTGAAATATAAGATGTAAAATTTCTAAGCTTGTGAAAATATAATATTTGTCAGGAAATGAAAAACCACGGTAATAATCTTCTCCCACTCACACAAATCAGTTCTGCACGTACTATACATTTCCGGCAGCACTTGTCTTTGATTTACTTTTATGCCTTTTAAAGCAAACTTTACGGTGTTTGAATGTGTACAAAATCCGTGTATATTTTTTAATTCTTCGCATACATTGTCATTTAGTTGTAATTTTTTTATAGTTATTGCTTTCTACACACTTGTTAAAGGCTGAAGCAGTATTTCTGCATACACTCTCAGACTATATAAATGAATTCTAGGATACGGAGCAACGATGATTTCTCTTATTATATTACATAGACATAGCAACAAACTGTTATTTATTTTCGTTTTCCGCAAAACTTCATTCCATTCATGCAGTGGTAGCAGTAAGTATCGCTAATCACGATGGGAAATTATATACTGAACTATAATAATATTATATATATCCGATATTCAGTGATTCTTGATGTATTAAATTTATGTGTGCCAGACAATTTCGACCCTCAATTGCGAGGTATTTGATCGCACACTACTTTCTTGGGAAAACATTTTGCATTTGTTACCGATATCGAAGAAGAAATCCGAGTTCTCTCTTTGTAAATGTTTCTATATACACTGTAGGCTGCTAAATTATCGAGAGTTTTTATGAGTCGCATGCAGGTGATAGAGAGTTTTAACTACAGTAGCTCAGTATCAGGTATACAATTCATGTAAGATAATTTTATTTTCTCTGTTCTATAGCTACTTCCTCGAAAACAATTCAGCTAATTTCTTACGTGTAAAAATAGTTTGTTTTAATTCCATTAAACAACTATACATATATTTATACGCTTGTATATAATAAGCGCATTGTATAAAAATATTACACGGTACTCACACGTCACAAGTATTATAGCTTGATATTTTCTTGAGAGCTCCTCGATGTTGCTTCTCCAACGGCTAGCATATACACTATAGAGAGCCGCTTGTTTTGAGCAACATTTTATCACGTCTCCCCTCGCAGGATTTAAAAAACAAGGAAATTGCGCTTGCCATAAATTCCTGCTATAACATGAAAATTCGTGCTTTACATGCACACGCTGGGTAATCTGGAAATTAACACATGTCATATACGATCCATAACAAAGAACATTATATCGCTTAAAGTTTGAATAATAATCCGATTGTTGAGAACTTTAGAGGCCATTTTATCAACTTAATCCTCAATACTCTGCCAAAATGAGTGGTATAACGACAATATTAGGATGACTGTGTGTTAGCTTATAACTCTAACATGCAGAACATTATCTTATGCATGGATGAGCTGTTTAATTGGATTGACTTTCGCATTCATTTTCCTAATTTAAATACATTGAAATGCCAGTTATATAATCATAGTATACAATGTTTGAATGGCGGAACTTTGCGGCTATTATAGCAGGCGGCATATTTCTGCTACAACAGATAAATTTACTGCTACAGCGGAAATTGATATAACAAGACGCCTGTTCTGGCGTTAACTCCGGCGCACGTGCCAGTCTTTAATATAGAGCTTCTGAACATAAACAATACAGTTCATATTCGCATTTAGATGCCTTGCGAACCTAAATGTTCGATCGCGAAATTCAGAAGCACATCGTACTTTAAAAAGTATAGAAGTTAAATCGTTCAAGAATGTAAATAAACGGTATGATACATTCGCTTTGTCTTACACTTTGCCTTTGGAATTCGCGCTTATATAGCTATAGCGCCCATACACGACCACATCATCTTGTTAAACGGCGAAATAGCAGCGATATTACTAAAATAGGACCAGAATCTACACGTATTAAATATATTTTTACCCCAATTCAGTCTAAACTTAATCGAAAAGCATGAAAAGAACGGTTTATTTGTTCCTCTTGGAGGAATTGCCGTATCATGCGAGCGAAATCGAATCGCGCATCGGAAAATTAGCCAAAGCTGTGCACCACAACTCTTGGGAGACAAGACTGGGACATAGATAAATCCAATCACATACACATTTTAAATACTGGAATGTTTCGCGCCATTACAGACTTGCGACGACGAAAAATAATAAAAAAAAACTAACGCCGGAGTAATAATATGAATAGGAAATAGATAAAGGGTTACTATGAAGACTATAGTAGCTACGTAAAAAATAATGTATAAAAGTGTAAAATTAGGGTATATCCATTAATCCATATTACATAAATGTCACATACCCTCGTATTATCAGAGTTGCATAAACATTCAATTGTATATTGTATATATGCATGGACTATACAAAAACAACACGTCGTCGTGAACTTAAATTCGATAAGGTACATTATTACCACACATTGCCAACTTTTTGGCAAAGCTTTTGCTTCTCAACAAAGCGCTCGCAGAACGTTATTTTGCTTTAAGTGCAGCAAATTCGGCAAAGCGTTGTGACTAGCAGTCTAGCACAAGTGTTGTACATCTGAATGACGTAATGTTTATTTTGCTGGGCTATACAGTACATAGAAACTAGACCGTAAAACATTTCACTAGATTTCAATCGGTTTTTTTGTTGACTTGAAACACTGAAACAGAACTTTATTGTAAAATTATCTACTATAGTATACATACTATATTATGACATAATAATAGACCAAGTAGACTCGTGTACACGCGCGAGCGCCACGAGAACGAAAACATGTCTGGGCTGCCTATGATAACGAGCAACATTTGAGTTTGAGAATATGAAGAAACCAACAACCTATATTTCAAAAATCAAATCTCGTTTTGGGAAGAGGTTTTTCTCTAAAATATGCTTTCTTCAGCATTAATTTTGCTTCTCACTATTTCATTGTTTCGAACTTCATGGCTTGAAATCAGTGTAAATAATAACTGATTTTAATTAAAGTTTCACCGCATATATGCGAGGCAGCTTTTAACCCACGCGCTGGCTTATACATGCATGCGAGGTTGCAGATTACGTTTTATTTACTTGACGTATTTCGGCGGTAAAATGATCTTACCTGGGTGTTGATCAAATGAAAATCTCAAATGACGAATTTATAACTTATTTAAATTTGAAATTTCAAAACGTTTTTGAAACACCGGCTGTAAACATAGCAAAAATTCCTATCAATTTAGAATCCCGACTTTGAGACTGGGTATGAATGTGCACGCTATATCGCCAGTCTCGTTCCCCGAGTTCGAGATTCTCTGGTGAGGAAACAAAGGCTCTGGGATAATCCAAACCGGAAGCCTGAAATCCTGGCTTTCGGTTTGTAACGTTTTTTTGATAACGATAAATCAGAATAATTTCTGATTTCGATTATCACAGAGCTTTTGTTTTCTCGCTCGAGGAATCGCGGGCTCGGGGAACAGATGCTATGTTTCATGCTTTTAAACGGCAAAATACAGTGCCCTATTCAACGAGTACTTTTCACGCACTCCTGTCACCTTGCCAAGCGTATTCCTAGTCTGTGACCTGTAGGGGCCAAACTAAGATATTTTGTCAATTGTGGCCAATTTTGCGACACAAATAACAGAATAGGAATTTTATTTTGCAGACTTGAATATGTGCGACTCGTATTTGTCACTATATGAAGCAAAATTAATCTATTCTCGTTTGCAACTTGTGAAATAGTTTCTTAATATTAATTATTAATCCTTTTAAACCCAACAAAAAGAAGCTTTTGTAAAGCAGCAATATTTGATGGCCCCCAACCTCGCCTGCAAGCAACTATACAGAACTGTATGCAAATTCTTTGGATTACTTTAATCTTCCTCAGTAGGCTCAGAATTTTCTCAAAACGTGTGCGAAAAAACTCGCCTGCGGCTCAAACATTCTCATCCTGAAACGGGTTTGCTATTTCTTAAACGTCACGATCATCATCATAATAGACCTTTCCAGTAATTATATGCACCACAACTGAACTGACTGAAAGAGGGGGCGGTACCTAAATTATCGGTTGAAAAGGGGTCCAGTATTTTTCACCAGGGGGGTCGACTTGTTACTGCTGTTCATACGGTGGGGAGGAGCCACACAATGCAACATAAATTATTTTATTAATGGTAGGCGGATATACCCAAAATGTAATGCATGTGGTCCAAAGAACGATCGACTTTTGCCAGGATCGAACTGGGTCTTATCTGTCATATTTCCCTGATGTACATTTTAATAAAAAGGCAGTCACAATAAAAAGCAGCGATGTGTAACAACATTGCGTGAGAACGACTTTCGCGCATTTGTGCTGTACTTGAGAATCAATTAGTCTCAGGTTTTGAACAAAATATGCTTTGTAGATATTACACTGAAACATACAGAAATTACACTGAAACCGGACCTGGCGGTGGAAGTGATGTGTGTGCGGGGAAGGGGGGGGGGTTACTTTTTGCGACGAAGGGCCTGGGAGGGCTGGATTATCCTTATTCAGTTGTTAGTTGAAATTGGCCAATCCACCGCTAGTTAAAAATATAATGAATAATCACCAAACAATATGGAAGCAACTTTTCCATGATCAATTATACATCAAAAGAACATTAAATTACCCTAAATTTACTGAGTGTTTTAAAAAAGTCCCCCCCCCCTATTCAAATTCTAATTTTAAAATTTTTCAAACAACACTTGCACTATGTCAAATCCCGAATTGTACTCGCCATAACATGATTACCTACTATTAGCTATACTTATCATCTGCTGAATTCAGTATTATCATATTGGAAAGAACGTTGTTCAACAGTAGCATATACATAGCCAGCCTGCCAATTTTATCTCGCCATGTTAATATTCTGGGACTGGTTGTACAAAAACGAGGTTAACTTTTAACTATAATGGCAGAATTGAACAATGAAAGTTATTTACAATTTAACTATACACAAAATGTAGTTAAGAGTTTTATAATTTCATATTCATTGTAGAGAATGAATAATATCACATAACCTGAAATTATTTGTATATACTGGGACTAAATTATCAGGCTGGCCAGGCTAGGCTACTGTTGTTGAATCATTCAAGTATCAACTCGTCTCATAATTATAATAAATACACGTCCTACTTTCTGGTGTATTTTAAACTTTCATACTTGCTTTCCTTATCTCTGACGGTATTTAGTTCAGTGTATGCAGCGTCTTCGTTTTCAACAGACACTTTATCTCCCACTGAATTTCCATCCAACGACTCGTAATGATCGTCCCCTGAATTCATTTTAGTTAAATCCAAACTTTCGTAACTTGAATTGTCCTTAGGTTTCCGTGGCTTAGCGTTCTCAGAAGACTTATCTGTCCTTCCATTTCTGGCGCGACGACAGGAACAAAACAGCCCGATGCCAAGGAGGACAGCAACGACAACTCCGACAGGTACACCAATATAAATATATAATTCCTTTTTATCATCCATTTTTTTGCCGCAATCTGCACAAGAAGGAATACCAATATAATTTAGGAATCCATATGATTCAAATTCGCGAATTTCAGACTCAGTGCTCTCATTCAACAGGTGAATATCGATATTCACCGTGACCGAGTTTGATTCTTAAGCCTATTACGAAGGTGGTTATTGAAAATTCTGGCCTCTGATTGGTCGAGTGAGCTCTAAACATTCCGCGATGATCATCTAAAAGGGCATTTTTCAAAATAGCGTCGAGTTGATTATGTCATATGCAGTGTCTTATCACCGCTCTGTTGATTATCATTATCCGGTGCATACATTTTCCTTGGTTTCTCACATACGCTTTTCTCCAATTCACATAATTTATAACCATTATAATTATGCTAAAATGGCGTCTGTACCTGTACAAGGTTGGTCAGTTTTTTCATCATTTTCCTTATCACTTGGAGTAATTGTTCCCATCGCAGATGCAGTGCAAACGACATCCATCCAATCTGAATCGTAGGACAAATTCTGGGCAGGCAGGTGTCGTAGAAAAAAAGAATAAGGCTTAAAATTCAAGTTTTATTAAAGGAATGACGTAACCAAATATATCCGTTCGGTGGGTTACACAACAAGGGGAAATTTCATTTTCGACCAATCAGCAAGTTTGTTTACCTTTTCAGTAACCCAATCAGCCTGCATAGATTTAGATTACTTCCGGCAAAAAGGTTCATTATTTACCATTATTAAACAATTTACATGAAGTATTAAATATTTAGGCGTTCTGATTGGCTTTTCCTGAAAAATGTAAGCAAATACACAACTAGTTTAAAACAAAATTCCTCCTTGTTGGGTTAACTATTGACGAGTAATGATTTGGTTACCTACCTTTTTATGTGTACATATGGGCAGGGCCGTGGCTGGAAGCTTAATTTTGGGGGGGGGTGTATATTAATTAATATATTCGTCTGCCGGACTGATTTATTTTGTACGCTATTGGTCCTATAGTATGAAAACGTTAATACAAAAACAACCCCCCTTCTAAGCAGTCTAGATACGGCTCTGCATCAGTAGGCCCTGAATTACAAACTAGGTAAACAAATTTTCAGGGGAGTAGCTGCAACGATAATTGGGAGGGTGTTTATTTACATATTCAATTCTGCCCTGCGGATTTCTATTGCGAGCTATTGCACTAAGCCACTGGCGCCGCAGTTATATGTCACTCACCAAACTTTTATATGTTCTTTGAAAAACAGAATAATATGTATCACGTTCCAGATGGACATTCCGAAATATTTTTCTTTTCTTACTATTGCTTCTAAATTCAGAGTATAGTTGATTATCTCCAACAGTAAATAGCCCTTTGATTTGATCGAAGTGGGTTTTTCCAAACTCTGCAGCAATGTATGGCACACAATCCACAGTGTTTTTATCGTACTGCTCTACGATCTCGGGATGCTTCGTTGGTTTTGCGATAGTTTTTAGTTTTGATAGCACAATTTGAACATATCTGCAATGATTTCATGAATAATTTTATACCCACTTGGCCTTTGGGCAGTGCAGCTGGGGCAGGGCAGTGCAATAAAATATTTGTCATCTACTATGGTAAAAAGCTTTCTTATTGGCTGTAAAGAGCTAGCAACAATCATGGACAAAAGTGGTGTAAAAATGAAAGAAATCGTAAGAATATTGTTATCATTCATTTTAAAGCAAACGTTTTCCCCTTACCCTACCCCCTCCAAATCAATGTGGTATATAGCTGGTTGCGCTGCTTTGGCTTGCAAAATACAACATTGCCACGGGGGTGGTCGGGGGGAGTATAACGGGTGAAGCAAGTAGGTTAGTGTAAATGAAGCGAGGGGGGGGGGCGTTGGAGGATTAGCTTTAATAATTTGGGCCTATTTTTTTGGGCGGGGGTCGTTGGAGGATTAGCTTTAATAATTTGGGCCTATTTTAATTTTTCACTACATGTTTGCGGTCTAAATGTTCGTTTCCGAAACACAACTGCAACCGGTAATGTAATCAATCATAAATTTTAGTTTCCGAAATCGTACATGCAGGTGTTTCCAACTGGTGTGTAGAATCTGGGAAAAGCTAACAGAATTGTAAACTACAGTGGGTGGGGGTGATACAAAAGTCTAAGTCCAGCCAATATAATTTTTGTCACATTGATATAACGCGTACAACAGCACAGCATGTGCATACAATCATGTTTTAGGATTTCACACAAATTGACGTTGTTCTATAATGTTGCAAGACCAGCAGTTGCATTTAACGCATCAACAATTTTGTTCTTATAGCTATACACTTCATATAATAATTATCCTTTCGGACTTACATATCGTCCGCTTGAAGCTTTCCAAGTTGGATTTGAAATGCTGTTGTTGATTTTGTTCCTATCGGATTGGGAGCGGCTAAAAAAATAATAAAACCTTCTTACAATTGCACGAAAGAAAACATTTATTATCAATATATCTATACTATTTAATAAAAGGTGGTAATTTGAGTAGCCAACGTTTGAGCGAATATCGCAACTTTTCTAAAGGACGAGTCATAGCTAATCATCTTTATGTCAAATATTCTAGATCCACAAGGATAAAAATGAAACGCATGTACCACAGCAATATTCCAAACGAACTCTCACTGAGAGGTCCATTATTTGGGGGAAATAGGGGGTAATTGACTTGCAATATGATTATATCGCTAACACAAACCTGAACGGGTCATGGCAATTTTTTGTCTTCTGTCGAATACCTTAATACGAATCGATTTCCCGTCATTTAGATATTTTTCAACGGTTACACTGTATTTTGTTGCTGGTTGTAGCCCGGAAAGTGTTTCATTTACGAAATTACCAGGATACACTTTGGACAAACATTGTCTAGTTTCCCCTACTTTGTTCCAACACAGCTTGAACACATGATATAATTGATATTTGAATTTTTTTGCAACTCCGTTGTCGTTCGGCCACTTGACAGAAAGCCTATGCTGACCTTCAACTGTAATTTTTAGGTCGTTTTGAGCAGCTTAAATGTAAAAAATAAATAATGAGGTAAATAAAAAAAGGGCACAATTGTCCCTACACAAAAAACGGCAGCGTCGGATACCGATGAGTATATTACACTTTTTCTCGTTCAACGTTTCTATAGTTCGCACTTTTTCTTATTACCGCTCATGCTTCACAAACCAGTCAAAAGAGACCGAATGGTATCCAAGAACAACTTAAATTTGTTTAATTTGTGAAGTTTTTCAGCAGGAAATTATTTTGAAGCTAAATAAATTTCAAGCCCCTTGATCTCTAGAACTGCCTATTTTGAGCATGTGTACCTTGAATATTCAGAAATAAGCCAGTATGTGTTGCATATTTCACGAATCTACTCGAATTTAATGTTCTATAAATTTTTTCACCAAAAACAAAGCATTTGGATAAACTTTTTGGCACTTAAAATTGTTAGGGTGAAGGGGTGTCACATGCATGCCCCCCCCCCCCACGGTCTCTGACGGTTTCGCACTTTACGGCTAGCAATTCGTTCTTTAACCCTTGCAATTAGCGTTGCCGTCTGAATAAAGAAGAACCAATTTTTTTCCTTCTTATATCTATCCAGTTAATATGTGTGTACCTGGTATTGTTTTTTGACAACGATATTGAACAACTAAAGCCGTATTATTTCTGCAGATGTTACTCAAAAAATCCGAATCTTGGACTTCAAATGAACACTTTCTGGTCCCATTACACTTTTTTATCATCACTGTGATGGCTGTGTTGGTCACGCAGTTTTTATCACTTTTGTTCAAGACGAAGTGATTTTGGCTATTGATTAAAACACCGTATTCAGCCCAAACGATCCGGATTGTCGAACACGTCTCACACTCGAGAGTTGCAACTTCGTTTTCGCTAAACGTCCTCTGATATGCTAAAGTAGATAACAAGAAGGTCAGTTGCGGTTTTAAAAATGCAACTGCGTATTACCATAGATAAAAGATGATCGGATGTCCATCTCAGTCATGGAGATTATAAATAACACTAGAGAAGGCATTGGTATAAAAAAACATCAGTCGGAAAATGGGGGGCAAATTCAAGTCCCGGATGGAAAACCAAGCGCTGATTGGCTAGATCAATGCCTCCTTAGCAACCACGTTAGCAATAACTAAAGTTTGTATTAAAAAATTATATTTGTTTTTTAGGTTGTTTACCGTTTTTTTAAGGAAAAACAGTGTTTTTTTGAACTGGTTTTACTACTTTAGACATCCTGAGATGATATTTTAGGGAAAAACCATTTAGAAATAAAAAAAATACTCGTTAAAAACCGCATATTTTGCATGGCCTCTGACATCGTGAATGAGTGAACATCTGGGACTTGGATTTGCCCCCCACTAACGCGCTCCCCAATTTCTCCTCGATGACCCCTCTAGTGTTATTTATAATCTCTATGATCTCAGTAATAAAAATGTCTCAAGGCAGCCATTTTGCTGGCAAGTGTTGATTCCGTGATATTGCGTGGTAATCGTCATTTGGCATTACGTCATCATTTTGTCTTTAATTATGCTCTCTGTCGTGTCACATATTTCACTAATGTTTTGCATTTGCGGAGATAAACATTCGTTTTAAAATAAATTTATTACTTTATATTTATATTTATATATATATATATATATATATATATATATATATAAAAACCAACAAGTTACTACCAAAATGGTAGAAATAGTAACACAGGCGGCCATAAGATCAGCAAGGGTCATGGTGTGTGGATGACGTGTGCATGTGGGGGAAATTTGAGGACATAAAAATAAATATGTATTCTTCGCCTTTGGTATTACTGTGTGAGAGAGTAAACGATATCTCTTTGAAAGATTTTGCTATACGTAAAGTAAAACTGTCTTGAAATTTGAGAATTATGTTTAGAGTATCATTGCTATATTTCGTCGCCATCTTGCAATTCGATTATAAATCGATTCACTTACAAGTTCTCATTACATTACTTCGCTTGTCAAGGTTGGCCGGAAAAGTCCAGTGTTTCTATACAGCTATAGAAACGCACTTCTTCGACCAATCAGCACGCGCGTACTGTATATGTTATATTATAATAAAAATTAGAACCATCTGGGCCCAGTTGTTCAAAGCTAGGTTAGCGCCAACACCGGGGTAAATATTAATTCAGTTTTTGTAGTTTATGTGCTTCTGCATGGGGCTGGTTGTACCAAGCCGTTTAAACGGTGGATGAATTCAAAATAGAAAGCAAGTCTGCCGTTTTATTAAACAAGGGAGCAAAATGTTTTTAAACTTAATACAAAGGTACTGTTTACAACGACATATTCAGTGCATAATATTCAGTTGGCTCATTCAAGGGAGATGTAAAAGTGTTATTTAATTTCAACTTATCCACCGTTTAGGCTAAACGGGCTTGATACAACCGGTCCCAGAACCACTGTTGGTGTTAGAAATTTAGAAAAATGTTACCTCTATACATAGGTCTAAAAACTATTAATTAAAAAAAGATATTCAACTTTGTACACAAGCGATGAAAAGAAATATGTAAAGATTTGGTTTAACCCCGGGTTAAGCTAACTGGCTTTTGAACAACCGGTCCCTGCAGACGAAAGTAAGTTAAGCTAACCTGCGATCTGCATGGCGCTATTACCCGGTTACCCGAGATTCAACGAAGCGTGAGATGATTTTGAGGTATTAAAATGAGAAATAACATGATCTTAGCTTGGAAGTCATATAATCACCACAACAATAGCATGTTTGGTGTCATAAAGACGTATTTCAATACCTCAAAGTCCTCTCACCTTCGTTGAATAACCGGGCTCATAACTCCTAAGTGGCCTGGCTCAGCCCGAAAACAATCCGCACACGTGAGAAACTTGCCTTTCGAGGCGAATTCTTCACGAACACTATCCGCACACGAGAGCAACTTGTTGAGCTAACAGCCTCGCGAGGTCTTTAGCTCATGCAGCTAATAGCGAGCGAGTTTAAGACCCACTGAATCTACGACGCGGACGTGAAGTAATACTGCTCTAATTTCCACAGTGTCCCAACAGCGATGGAAATTATAGACTTTTGTGTAAAAATTTGTAAACTGAGAAACTAATACTGGTTACCTATCACTATTAGCAGTTTTCATGTCACGTTCGCGTCGTAAATTTGGTGCATCTTAATCATCTCTCGTGTGCGGCGGGCTTTGCACGTCCTATAGTCCTATACTGTTTAGGCAAATGTGGCATTGGAGACGAATTAGAAAAGCTTTGATTAAATGTAGTAGGACAGAAAAATAAACCCATATACAGTAGATCCGTGATTGTTGAAAATTTTCACGATGGAGCGTGATTTCACGAAGCACGAACCGAATTAAATAGATTTAATTTAACATTTAATTTAATTTAAGCAGGACTTACCATAACTTAGTTTACAAGAGCTGTCGATGTCGCAAA